CAGGGAGGAAACGTCTGCCAGGCCGCTGCACAGGAAGTAATGTTGCCCGCTGAAGTGTTTGTCCACTTTGCTTGAGCGGCATCTATATCACTTTCGTCAACTATATATTATCGGGATATTAGGTAACTCGGCCAAGATCGATTTGTACAGTTCCCAATCCACGTGTTTCCTAGCGCAGGTTTCCCTGTCCAAGGTATTATCCGTGCCCACCTCAAGAATAACGCGAAGGTGATCGCTTGAGCTGTCATATATAATCCTAGAAGAAACACGGAAACCGCAGTTTCTGGATATCGCGAAGTCTGTAACATCTGGCGAATGCAGATAGTTAAAGGGGTGGGTGGTATGTCGGCTCATCAGTGCTGTGAGTGATACATCCAAGCAGGTTTGAGCCTGAAATGCCGTGCACGGTACTTCCAGTTGAAATCACTTGCCCCCATCCGAGGACCCGAGCAATCCAAGAGGATTTCCAGGTCTGCTTCTTGAAGCCAAGGACCGCACCTCACATTCAGCGTTGTGATTTTTAATTGGATGCCTCCCATCATATTACCACCACATAGGCAGCTTCAATGCTATGCATTTCAGCATTGCAGCCTCTGTAGTCATGCTTAATAAGCTCGGCCAAGCCGCCACCTCTCCCCTTTAACCTGTCAGCACGAATAACATTACAATTTGTGAAGATGAAGCGATTTCCGGGTTTTAAAAATATTTCCTGCTGCAATATTACATCTACAGACTCGTTCGAACGGGCCTGGTGAAGTTCTCGTTTTTTACCGACGTCTCCCAATCCACAACAGTTTCAGAACATAATTTTAAGAAAAGCTGGCTATTATACTTAGCCATCTATAGGCTGCGGAAAGATCGCTTGCAACGCCTGTGTTGAGCTTATCAGAGGAGTAATAATTTGTAGTAGTGACTTAAGCGCGGTCGCCAGTTCTCCTTGTTGAGAGTTCAAAACAGGAGCTGCAGATGAAATAATAGAAGCTGAAGGCCCGGCTATCATTTCAGCATAAGATTTATTGCGCCTCTAGTCTATAACCTGTAGGTTTCTCTCGAGAGCAAACCTGCACGTTGGACTATTAGCAGGATGCCGCTCCCCCCATTTTGCGCATTTGCGCACCTCCTGTCTTGTTTGGGGACAAATAGGTTAAGTGGTCCTGTGCACATTTTACACATTTGTGTGGCACTGTACAGAAAGGCTGGGCGTGCCCATACCTCTGGCAGCGGTGATACTGAACCTTAATTGAGAGGCCTAACAGTTCTTTTTCATTGAATAACTCATGTGATTTTGCGTTAATCTGATCAGATAGAGAGGAGTATAACCTTTCTGGTCCAGCTCCTACTTTATCGCTTCCTCGTTGATTGACGGGGAGACGATTCTAATCCCTGCGTCAATCGCTTTTCTGGCTCCCTCAGCACGACCAGAGTGATGCGCCTCGGTTGAAGCTGCTGCGCCGGTATGCTGGCAGAAGCAGAAGGTGCAGAGGTTGTATGGGTCTGTATATGTGAAGTAGTTGTGTGCGATGTAGCAATGAGTGGATGAGTATTGGTTTGTGAAAGATGTATTACTGTAGGAGCAGATTGAATTGGTGAAGGAGAGAAGTCTTCTGTCGCACGTCTGATAGTTGTCCGTCTTTTTCTTTGTCTGGCTGGTGTAAGCCCGTCATCAGAAAGAGCGTCGTAGTCAGTTGGATCCTGATTTTCAGGTCTACGTTTAAGCCTGTCACTACAGGAATTTCTACTTAGCTGTGAATTCAGTCCTGTAACTTGGGCCGTCAAGCAGTCAATACTATGATTGAGGCTTTTGCTAAGGTCCGCATGGTCTGCTGCTGTGCCTGCTACTCCATCTGGTGGGCCTGCTTTTCAATGATAGTCGACAGCCTCTGGATGGTAGAATTGCCGCTGGTTTTTCATTTCGTTTCCAATTTTAGGTGCAGTTCTGGTAGTCTGCATTGCTAGTGGAGGACCGATCATCCTCACACCCCTCCGGGTCCACGTCCATTTTTTCTCTCGCCTTTTATTCGCGGAAGAACATTTTTGACGTTTACAATCAAAAGCCAGTACAGGGCGAATTTTCTTCTCTTTTCCTTATTCTTTTTCATTGACATTGTCTGGTTTCTGGGCAACCAGGACTGACAGATTCGACTAACGTACTTTAGACAGTGACAAATAGGCAAAGGTCCTACAGACCGCACAGGCTAACAAATGACGAATAGTTACTATAATTGTCAACTTCGAGCTGCCATTTATCACGTCAACGTCTTAGGCCCGTATCGTCTGTCGTCCCTACAATTGTAGGGCGCGTTTATGGCCTCCTTGATTGTCATACCCTTTTCTCTCCTTCAAAAATTTCTAGATTACACTCGTCCCGTGTCAGCGCTCTCCTATTGTTAAGATAGGTTTTCCTTTTAAATTGTAGGAAATTTTAGGCTGATAAAACATGATAAAACTCAAAAGCAAGCACAATTTGATGCAAATAGAAGTCTGACACGGAGAAGTACAAAACTATGACAATCAAGGAGACCATAAACGCGCCCTACAATTATAGGGACGACTGACGATACGGGCCTTAGTAACCACTCTTTTCGTTGCGGCGTGCTACCTTATTACTTTAAATGAATAGACAATTGTAGAAAATGCAACGATTCCGTAACTCGCAAGATGGGTGTGCTCCAGATGCTGAATAAAGGACCTCTAGTGGATGATCCACTGACTTATAAGCGTATTTGATTCTAAAGTCATTCCAATGCAGCTCATTTGGCGTTTCCTTTTTTATAGACCTTGCTTTTTACAGCATATAAGCAATCACATTTCTCATACTCGCAGTAGTATGTCACACTGCTCTTTTGACCATGAAATCTGAGTTTTTTAATCTACAAGCAGAACAACAAACAGCATAAGTAGGTGAGTTTTTTTACACCGGAGCAGCCGCGCAGGCAGAAGCCTAAATGCCAGAACACCGCGGCTGCTATGAAGATCCCAAAAAAACTTTGTTAGTCCGATTTTTGAACTGCCTAAGGTTAGTAGAACTGGGAAAAGCTCCCTCATATACTCGTAGATCCTTTCACAATCTCGGCATACCAGGTACAAAGGAGCGGTCGTATCGGCCAGTTCTGGATATTCGAAGTTCGACACGATTAGGATGGAAAGCCGAAGTTAGGCTTGTTGATGTAGCGGTAGAAGACAGCCAACTGCCCACCGCTGGTACTTAAGGATCCAAAGACTATCTGTTATACGACACTACACTATAATACTCGATGCTAGGTCTTATCTGGGTCTTGTATAGAGTGAGGGGGTCATTTTGAGAAAAAGTTTTTCTTTGCCCTAAGCAAATAGCTTAGCTTTTCCCCAGCAGCTGCTGCTATTGATGAGATGTGTTCGTGCCAGATCAAGTCCTCGGTGATTTGGACTCCGACCAGCCGAAATGAATGGCTCTTTGACAGAACTCGACCAACCATTGAAACCGGATGAGCGTTAGGACGCTTTTTGCTCGTCAAGGTGCAGTACTGTGTTTTAGAAGCATTAAACTGTTAAATTGTTGCGTCCCCAAGCAGTGATAACCTCCAGGTCTCTCTTCACTTGTCACTCTGAATTCCTGCATGTAGAGTGGTGTCATCAGTAAAGCTGTGGATCGGATCAATCGTGCAGGAAAGGAGGTCGTTGATATCTAAGAACGGTGACGGGACTAAGACCGTTTCGCGAAACTGATAACAACTAATAAAAAGTGCTTGATGTGAGGCATAAAGAGAATATCAACGAGTTAACACAAAATATGTAATTCCTTGTCACTTAGCGCTTCTAACAGCTATTTTACTGCTCCAAATGCGCAGTAGACGTTTGCTCATGATATTACTTAGACCAAGATCTAAGAAATTTCGCACTTAATTTGTTCATACAAATTATGTACTAAATGCCGTCTGACACTATCCTTAATTTTGTACGCGATTTAGCATTCTAAATTAAACACAAAATTTCGTATGGCGACAGACGGCCGTTAGGCTCTGTAAAAATATTATTTCTTCAGACATTATTTGGTAGAGTGTAAAAAACATCAAAAATATTGCTCTAAGGTTAGTCCATCGCTGGTAACCAAATGAGTTAAATGTTCTTTGGACACCAACAAGTGAGACTAAAACTGGTTACTAGGCTGTCAAACCTTCGTTGAACTATACAATGTGGTTCAAATGTTATTTAAGTAATACCGAGTTCCAGTTAGTGTCCTTTAGGCATATGTTTTTATTGTTCAGAAAATGCAATGGTGAAAATTGTAGGTCGTTGTCTTTTCTAGGTTTAAAGTTATGAGTAAAAATAGAACTTATTTATTTTTACTTGGCACTTCATACCTAATAAAAATAACGGGCCATGGATTCCACATATTTTTAGAATCCTTCGTTCATAAATAAATAAATTCGTAAAACCACGAATTTGTCAATAAAAGCCCTTTTAAATGAGACAAAGTCTGCGAAAATCTATAAAGCCAATTAGAATGTGCACACTTTTTCTAGAATTAGCTCAAATCATTTTCCCTTTCTAAACCAATGACATTGCGACAAACTTATGATAACAAAAAAAAAATGGTCTCAAAACACGAATATTACCCAAACAAGGTATTTCAGATATATTCGTAAGTTAGGCACGAATATTTACAAATATAATCGGCATTCCTATTCTTGAGGTTGAGGCTGCACTACCTAGCAGCCATTTTACGAACTGGAAATAATTGCTAACAATTTCTCCTTGCCACTTTTCTGATAATGTTCTCAACCAATAGCTCTAGGTTGATTGGTTCCCGAGATACAGCCGTGGTTATTTATTAGTGGCCCGCCTGGTAAGTATACTCTCAGGGCCAGGTATGGGCACTTCTGCGCGGTTGTACGGTACTATAAATTTTTGGAGACGGGAATGACCTATGAGTTGAATTTTCGAATGCTTAAAAAGTATGGTAGTATACTGTATAGTTTATAATGAATCATTCCATGTAACAACATAATTTTACTATTTACCTGTAGGAAACCACATGTGCATCAACTCTCCCACGATTCTTCCGAAGGCTGCTCCTATTTTGAAGACTGGAATGAAGCTACCACTTGGCACAGGTATGGTGGAACATATTATCGAAAACACAAACTGAAAATATATGTGATACTGAAAAATCCATTTGTTAAGCCAAAGTCCGAAACTCAATATGGAATGATCAATATTAATCAGCGATTTATTCAGTGTTTGACTCAGACTATAACATAGAGGAAACTAGATTAATTATACGTCATCTACTTATTCTCTATTATTAAGTTTTTTTTTCATTCCTTACTCACTGTGAATACAATGTAGCACGTAAGACTGACATAAGGACCAGTCCAGTCGGTAGTCCAGTGTTCCAAATCTTCAGCTTCCGCAACTGTTAAATTTATGTTCGTCCAAGTCCAGTTGCTGAATAATGACGACACTTGACGGTGGGTGTTCAAGTCTCCAGCTATGAACCTTCCGCTTCCCAGTGGGAAGGTTAGAGTTGAGACTAGAAGTGCTACCAGTGCGGGATAAAGAAAACGGCTAAACAGAAGGATACAGGTATTTAAACTAATTTCATCCTACTGAGCATCAAGTATATATTGAATCGTGTTCAAAGTTCCTATTGTTTATCTATTTCTATGGGACAATCATGAATCAGTTACTAACGTTTTTCAAATGATAAGTTATCAATTCCATGCGCTTCCGCAGTTTGGTATTCGTTCAGAACCAATTTGGGTATCGTGATCGATTTGAAAGCAAATTATTTGACTGCTCTGAATGACAATCGATTGAGATAATAAAAGATGGACGTTATGGTTTTATTTTTGAAATTTTCATTAACAGTACTGTAGAAAAGTAGGGGAAATGGTATGTCAGCTCAGAACCTACGACTACTACAACATCAGTACCTGTAGCGTATCAAGATTTATGAGAACCGCAAGCTTAAATGTAACGTATACAAAAAATATGGAATGATAGAAGGATCATTACCAAGAGTGGCTGGAAATTGAGAGGAAAAACATAAATAGAATAACCGAAGAGGATAAAGAGAAATCAGGAAGAGTCTGCAGTTATGGCTTAGTAGGAACCGCTAAAAAATTAGCTCTGCTTTTTTGCAAATATTGTGTCACATAATATATAATGAATTGATTGTTTTCTAAATGTAGTGAAAGGCATAACTTCTTTTTTAGAATTATGCTCATTACCATCAAAACAAGTAAGCAACTATTTTCCATGGAGGTATTTTGCCAGTATCTCCTTCTCCATCTAATCCTCCAAAAATGTTCAAAGTTCACGACAACCAACATTTTTAGCTTTCGAAGCACCGTTACTGGAGCTGTAGTGATCAAATACAAGAATTTTCAGAAATCATAGGAGCCAAACGGACGCCAATCTAAGCAATCCTCTAACTCTAAGCTTTTGGAATGTTCATGGTTGTCTGAGATCACAGCTTAACAGCTTATTAAAATTCACAGTTAAGCATGCGTGAACTATTAATCCTGCGGCTGATCCCAGGATTGTGAGAACCAGTTAACCATTATCTTAGAACCAGCGGGATTGCTAACGCAGACATTATTAATGAGTCTTCGCAGACATGTATGGTTCTTAACCAACCAACATAGAGTAACTGAATATAGATACCATATGAAGATATCAAGCATCTGTCTCTGGCCAATGGTCAGCTTCTTTGAAATACATTTTTTCAATGACTTAGATATTTTCAAGCTAGTTTTTTAGACGTTTGCCCCACTTCGGAAAGCGCTGGCGAAATATGTTTTTGAGTTCCATTAAAAATACTAGATATAACATATCAAGGAAACAGCCTGCGTTTTGATTGATTTTGATACTTAGTTTCCAATGAACCTGAAGATAAAATACGGACTAGCTTCAAATGCAACTATTTAGAGGGTCGTGGCGTTTTTGGGATATGTAAATTTGAAAAACGGTTCTACGAACTTTTTGGTTTCTGTTGATGAAATCAGACGTTATATTTTCCACAGAAACCTACTCACTTTCTTTTAAGAATAATGTTGATGATTTTGCTGTTTCTCATAAACATTACATATTGTCGATGCATCCATACGTATAGCGCTCCAGTTAACCCACAAAAAGCGCTAAAAAAGAATGGGTGTTAGGAAGTGTTTCATTAGTAAAGCTAGACACCTTACCCCATCAAAGCAAAAACAATCAATTCCTGTGGATCAAAAGGAAAGTCTAGAAAGAAATTGGTCCTAAATACGGCACTGACAGTATCTGCTCTTTGGAACCATACAGCTAGCAGTCTGAATGTCGTTGCTCCACAAACTGCTGCAAAGAACCCTCTCCAGTAGTTTCTAACAGCAAAATAGGTTGTTGTTACCTCTATACTAAACAATACTCCTAAAAAATGAGAGTAAGAAAAATAAGTCATCCCGTGGATAATAATTTTCTGGCAACATTGACCCCTTGGCTCAAAAGCTTGTTCATAAATTTCGAATGAATAAGTTTCTGAATTGTTTGTTCTTATACCAATTTCTTCATTCATGTCAATATTTGCAAACAAAATACGTTTAGTTCTTTTCACAGTTTTTTTTTGTGTCATCACAATGTCGTAAGTAAACAGATAGACTAACTGTATGTACCATGTGCGTAGCTTAAGTTCTCTTTAGGTGGCACATTCCTTTTTTAGATTTCTTTTCAACATCCTGTTTGCGGCAGTATTCTAAATCCTTTTCATCTGATAATTTCATGGTGTGTATAGAGATGACGAAAAACAATGTTTTCGCTTTTTTTTAAATGCATTTTTTGTGCATTTTATTGTTCATTCTTCCTTCAATCGTAACTTGTTAACAAATGTAAGTTCAGCCCTGAAATTGTCTGTGAATAATCCTCTTTTATTTAATAATGAAACGAGTGATTACTTTTGTTCTTAACACTTTTCCTTTTCGAAAAATCTTTGATTTTCTTGAAGCCTTGTCTCACAGCAAGTTGAGTTTTCAAGAAAAGCAAAGATTCTACGAAAAGGAAAGGTGATAAGGACAAAAGTAATCTCTCGTTTCATACTTCCATAAAAGAGGAATATTCACACACAATTTCAGAGCTATACTTTATATTTGTTAACAAAAGTTCCGACGGAACAAAATGCACAGAAAATGCATTTTTTGACAAAAAAAAATGAAAACAGTGATTTTTAGTCATGTATATACACACCATGAAATTATTAGATGTAAAGGACTTAGAATATTGCTGCAAACAGGAATTTGAAAAAAAAGTCTAAAAAGGGACATGCCACTGTGCACACTGTGCAAATTCTTAACGTAGGTGCTCATTCTTGCACACACTCATGCATTTGGTGATATAGTATCGTCGTTTTCATTCTCTTTCTGAAAATGCGTCAATAAATTTACTATTGTCTACTGACTGTCGACACTGTAGTTGTATCTTCAGGTATTACTATATTTTATATCAAAGATCAACAAAGGCCAACATGTGCTGAAGCGACACACGGACACATGATGCGTGGACAAGTTTAAGCAAAGGATTGAAAAACATACCAATACGAGAGCTTAAGTCGGAAAAAAATCGGTAATGGCAACACGGCACAAAACGCTACGATTAGGTGCAGGAGCGGGTGCAGATGAGGTGTGACAGCCTATTTGATTTGCATTTGATGTAATGGAAAGTTTGTTGGAAGCAGTTTATGGTAGGTTAGAAGGGTGGCTGCATGTAAACAGTCACTTGCTCCAAATGCTGCCGTGGAATTATTTACGGCAGGACAGTGCGCGGCGCGAGTGGAAGCGACAGTGGCTGCATGTAAACCCGGTAGATTCAGGTTTAGCTGAAGTCAAATATGAACAAGAGATTTCAATATAAAAGAATGCAGCTGCAGCGCGACACACACCTACGAGAGCAGGCGTGTACATACGTTCAAGATAAATAATCTCTTACGTCTTTTGACATATTTATGCATTCCAACATTAGCGTCGTATTTCTCACAGGTTGCAGAAAGATACATATAAATATTTCGATGACTAGATTGGAAACGTACTGGCACGGCACACGGAACTTGCAGGCATCTAAGCCTGTGTCGCCATGCTTCCTTTGACTCAAAATGAATACAACGGAATTCGTGAAATGCCTTAGATCACCACACAACTTGGAGAAGCTGAAGAAAATGATTATCTAGGTCATATCGGAGGTCATCGACAAATTGCTTCTTTGATACTCTCAAACTTTTCTTATAACCTTTTTTCCAGAAGATGTGTGGTTGCTAAGTTCTCGAGGTGTATCTAATACGAAATCTTGAATTATGTTTAAAGTTAGTATAGGAGATACACTGGTTCTAAACCTGAAAATCGATCCTAGAATATAATTGCGCGAAATAATCTAATTTCCTGAATGGGTTTCTAAAACATCTCTATAACTAAATTACTGAGACAGACTGTATTCTGCACCTACCTCCAACTGGAGCTGCAAAACAGCTAGCGACTCCCACGGCACAGGCAGAAGCCAACATTTCAGTCGTTCGATTTTCATTTTCGTAAATTCCTTGGAAGCCGGTGACTAGTTTGCTCAGCAAGGTAGCGGAGATGCTAGCGATATGGACAAATGGACCTTCCTTTCCTGAGAAATAAATGTTCCTGTATATCTTTTATTCATATAATAGCTCATCCTAAATGGTAACTCAAATCACTTCAGTTATGGCGAAGTTGCATTCACTATAAACAAGGAATACTTAGTGTTACATGATCCTTGATACCATCTATGTTGCAAGCAAATGAATGAGCAAAACAACAGTAATATATAAAACATGAATTTAACTAATTGCTAATAAAAGCGTGTATTATATTTATAATATGTCAAACGTAATATGACTATTGTTCAAGTCCCTGAAAGCACGCACATCTGTTCACAGTTAAGTGCGTGAGAAGGCAATTGCAGCGTTAGTTCACTGTTTATTAAGATAATATTTTTGTAAAATGTTTCTTTATTATTATTGCTTATTTTTATGCTGTAATCATAAAAGTCTAATGAAAGGCATTTGACAAAATTTTAGATTTATTACTCCCCCATTTTAACCATGGATAGTTCCAAGTAGATAATGCTCAATTTACTAATATATCAATGGTATATTTCAAAATTAAGCCATACCCACCTAGCGGCATTCCACTACCCAGAGTAGCTGCTAACCCTACTATCTTAGCCATAAGTGTTCTGAAATTCAAGTATTCCTTGAGAGCTACTCCTCTAAGAATGGTTTTCATTTCTGGGATACCGGAACCTAAAATTATAAATTCTGATTTACCACAAAATAAGACAGCAAGATTTGATAATTCCATTGGCTTAAGCTACAAAATCAATTGCAGTAACCGGTAGCAAGAAATTGCATGCGCTACCTGGCGTCTCTAAATGATAGTTAGTTTCGAATCACCCACCGCATAGACGTCTCGCTACTTAGGAGAGCACTAAGTGCTCATCATACTACTAGCTTTCACGTACTATGCAAAAGTTGCATAAACTACATACCGGCTGGATATGACCTATTTGCTTTCCGCGTCTGTGACCATAACCGACCGTATACAACGTTGTTTCATACTCTTAAGCAATCATAGTTACGGCATAAGTAGGTCTATTCGTAGATGGCAATGTCACCTTTTCACGCACTACAATTTAGTAGTTTCATTAGTAGACTCATACTAGCTTGTTTGATTTCCATTGCCTGACTACACCTATGGCGTGCTGATGGTTGCTCAACAGTATGAAACAACATTGTAATGGTTGGTTATGGTCACAGAGACGGAAAGCAGACAGATCCTGTTCAGCCTGCATTAACAATATGGAACACAAAACGCATTTTGATGCTTAGTGATGTGAGAATTTTAGACGATGATAAATGCTATTGACTTATTTTTTAAACACTGAAAATACTCACCTATAGACTGTGGAGCAACAATTTGAACAAAGCCAGTACTGAATAGGATCAGACATACTGGAAGGGATACCCAAGCTGTATACTGAGCCGCGGGATTGATTGCCAAGTCTCTATAAAGCCAAAGCCTTGCTGTGTAGAAAGAGTTTGAATATTAAGAAAATATTTGTATAATGTAAGCCTAATGACTTGAAAGTAAATCAGTAATTTCGAAAGTATCATGAAATAACTGATAATTTTTATTTCATTTGTAGGACGTCCATAGTGATGGAAATAATTTTAAAATATGTAGAGAGTATATACAGTAGTGATTACCATTGTCGCATATTGAAATTCCTCTATCCATAATAAAGCTGATGACTGCCATGATGAAGCCTAGCAATGCCAAAAAAACCCAATCTTCGCCAAGTTTTGCAAATGTATGCCTCCACAAGAATGATATAACTTTCGCTAGTCTGCCTAAAATTATTATTACCTTGTGTAATTTTTCAAAATGGTATAACTTTCGAGTGATCTATTGATCCTTTGATTCTTAGCATGTGATAATATGTGTGCAATAACTATAATCACAAATACTTAATAAAAACCATAACTGATGATTTGGCTGTAACGGCAGTCTTTCTAAAAACAGAAAAGTGGATGACGGTCAAATCACCATTTATGGTTTTTCGTAGTCAGAACGGCAGGGAAAATATTAATTTTTTTCTGCAACCGACCGAAAAAAACTCAAACGAGCATACAATATTATGACTTCCCAAAAACCAATCGCAAATGACATATTCTCTGCTCTGGAGCGACAATGTAATAGAAACGCCTGCTACTATTTGCGCTCAGACTAATCTTAAAAAGCGCACACACGCGAAGTTTACGCACAGTCCTTTATGCTCTTCAGAAAACTATTCTCGCATTGACTCAACTCAATCAGAGTCCATGTCTGATAGCTATTGGAACTCGTACAACCATGAGCAGTAGAATGAAATTACAAATGCATATCTACTATCAGATTGTATATCTACATATTACTCACAAGTATATATTCTATGATGATTCAGAGTTAGTGGTACAGCTGCAGCATTGACTAAAATTGTTATTTATATATCTGGGGCGTTAAGTGGTCGTTTATCGCCCGCGGCACAGCTGGACAATTCAATTTGGACTTTCTTAGTACATAAAAATAAATAGATTGACCGTACTCTCACCGTGAAGTAGAGTTATCGATGCCATTGCTTAGCAACAATAAATATGGGCAGCTTCCGTTGACAATAAGCACAAGCAATTTAAAGATACATTTTCGTCCAAGGGAATAAGGTAGTGGGCTAAAAAGTGGGACTTAATGCCCGTAAAATCTATTCATAATGTACTCGTTACCGCCTGGTCCTAGATAAAATATAAGAGTTTTCCTACAGCCTGACTAAGGGCGGGCTACTTTAGAAGCTTCCTATTAAAATGATGAGACCATATTTTTAATAGTGAAGCTTCATATCGCTTACACATACAGCAACTAAACTTAGCAATTTCATATTAAATTTTTCATTTTCAACATACTGATGTTGTTTTGAATTCTCTCGGTTGGTGCTCTCAACCATAATAATTGTTATCTGACCAGAGATTTTTTATTTCCTCATTTTGACATGGGACCATAATCCGAATTGATTCAAACACTAATTTTTTCGTCGATAATCGGCAAAACTATTTAATAAATATACCTCATGGAAAAAAATTTAATAAATCGAATAAATTTCTGTTTTTATTGCAAATCCTGTAGAATCGAATTTTAGATTTTGAAATTTCACACATATATTCAATACCTTTAGAGTGGGGATTGTAACACCTGAGATTTTAAATGTAGTAGTTTATGATGTATTATTTGGAAGTTATGTTAACTGTCTATTGGTTCAATGACAACATCCCATTTTAAAATATAAAATTAACGAATTTATATTACTTCTTAGTATCTCAATACCTGTAAAGTACAATAACGAACGGGAGCTCGGCTTTTACCACAAGTTCCATGCGAAACCTTTCCTATAACGCTTGTCAACCATGCCATTGTAATCATACCTTGATATGTCATGAATTCTTTGTTTCTAGCTCTCTCCTCTTTCAATCTCCTCTTCTCGATTTTCCTCAAAGTTTCCAGTTTTGATAGTTCATCGATCTGCTTACTATATCGCCCAAACATCTGTTGGACAACATCCAAATTTTCCATCATATCTCAACATTTTAACAATCAGGAGAAGGACTGAAGTTATTCGGTGTTCAGAACAGTACCACTAGTAACTAATTAGTGATATTGCAAGCAAGTACGAAAACGCATTGGTAGATAACAATGAATACTCGTATACAGGATGGACCCTTTCTAAGGACCAACTTGCATTTTACTGGGTAATATCTAAGTAAAATCTCCATTGTATAATAAACTGAAACAATAGTATCTCGATGTTATAGTGAAATGGAAATTCTACCTATCTGCATAATTATTTCTAGATGTTTTAGGTAAAATGAAAATGTCGTCGTCAGACAACAAAAGTTTATTATACTAATTTTCTGTACTCATTGTTTTTTTACGCTGACTTTGGTATTCATTCCTCCGATTTAAGCTTTATATAAAAAAAGTACAAAATATAAAAATAAAAATGTTTTACATTTTTCCAAAATATACAAATTTATTAGAAAGGAAGGGCCATCATCTGTTTCTAATAGGCTAATGAAGAGATTCCAGGAAATATATGTGGGAACCAATGCTGAATTTTATTGTAGGTATGAACTAGCAAAAGTGCAGTATTGGAATTTGTTTGCATCCTATAGGATAATGACTCAAAGAAGATATTTGTGCAGTGAATAAATGAAAACCGAAAAAGTAATCTATGCCAAGATTCACCGGTGTTAGGACACTTAGGTGGATGCTTTCTCGAAACTAACCGCGCTAAATCCCGGGGTCGGCTTTATTTGCCAACGCCAAGACAGCTCTGAGATCTGTTATTGATTAACGTGTTCTATCTGAGCGGTCCTGCCTATCTCACACTTTCTGGTCCTGCTTCACTACATTAAAGCATAGTCTGCCTACTTTTGTCTTAAGGCATTATTAGTACAACGGCCTCTGGACGTATTGATATCTGATATATATATGATATTTTTCCATTATAAAGATCAACCTAAACAACCAAAAACTACAATAAATTATATAAACGAATTTTACATTGGAGATGGGGTAAAGGAAAAGGCCTTACGTCTAGAATATTGGTCTAATACATACGACAAAAACGCCTTTAAAATGGGACCTCATAGACCCAATTTGCTGCAATGGCTATGACGCTGGACAGCTCATATAATTACTATTAACCTCAAAAAAATTAGTAGCAATTATAAATGTTCAGCAAATGTTGAGATTTTTTGGTGACATTTTTTCTAGATGTTAAATTCCAGAAAGGATTCCTGTTTTGGCTATTGTTTCAGATTTTCTGTTCATTACCTAAAATAAATTTGAAAAGTGGCAGTTTTTTTGCTGTCGTTATGTCGGTCCGTCGGTCTCTCGTTCTGAAGGTCTGCCGGTCTGTCTGTCGATCAGTCCGCTTACCTGCCCGCTGATCCTTGCCCCTCTGTAACTTGGAAAGTACCGACCTAATTTTGACGAGGGCGGAAAAACTAGATCGTTTTTGGAATCCAAGCTAGTGGAGGCGGATGTACGGGCAAACAAACGGCTCCTCTCATTTGTAGAAAATGTTTTCGAAGACAAAACTTAGGAAGGGGGTTGTATGGGATGGGATGACATATGTATATCTCATTTTTTTGAGCTATTTTGTTTATACATTTTTCAAGCACAGATTTTCCCATATATTCAACCGTAAAACTGGTAATTTTACAGAGAAATATTAGAGCCTAGGAATCTTCCATTGAACACAGCCAAGACCCTGCTTTTGATAGACTACTTGCGATCTCATTATCACAGGTCCCCAGACGCCCATACTAATGAGATTTGGTGCTATGATACAACATTGTCTAAATATTTTCTACGCTTTAGATATTTTCTAAAAGCTTAATCCTTCAACTGATTTTTTGTTTGTTTGATATTTATGAAATGAGAAACGGTTTTTCTCACAGCTCCGACCGATGGCTGCTATACACTCCCGCAGTGGCCAAAAGTAAAGGAAATTTGACCTATTCATTAATCTGTAAACCTGTAGTAAATTGGGAATGCCTCGGTCTGCTATAGAGTAAGTCACAACTATCAACTAGTCAACAAAATCTAATACAAATTTCTTGAAACTATTTTTCGAAGTGCCCTCCCTGTAGAACATTAGAGATGATGTACTTGTGTCATTACGCTAATTTACTAAAAGTAATTTGCATTTATCTATATGGCGGGCAATCAGTATCACCTGAATGATAAGGGCCAGTCGATTTTCGGAATATTGGCTTTCTGGTATTTATACATTGTCAGATTCGTCACGAACAAAATAAAGCCCATGATGGAATAGTTGAGTTTTTTAATAATTTCTATATAAACGCAACATATCATTCATGTCATTTCCTGATTAAACGATGCTGTATCTGCACTTTGTAAGAAATATGCACAGACATAGTAAAAAAGACGGACCTTCGGGAAAAATATTCCCATTCACATCGAAAAAATAACTAAAGCAAAATCACATTTTCGCTCCGATCAGAAAAAATCATATACTAAATTTCTCCCAAAGTTAGAGACCTTTGCTTTCATAATGTTGACATCTCTCAACATGCTTTCTTGACAAAAAATTATCATAAAACTTTAAAACAGACAAAACGAAGTTTGTAAGCGAAAAACATATCCCACTCTAAAATTCAACAATATCAGTGCAGCCATTTCTGACTACGCGGTGTAATATGCCAACACAGACCGACATACCGATCGTGATAAAGACGTTATAAAGTTCAAATATAAAGTGCAATCACAAAATGGCACATAGACTAGGAAAGTAAATAAAAAAAATCAGCGTCAAGTAAGTTAGCTTTGCACTTCCCAAGTTAGCCCCTCTTAGTAAAAAATCAACTAAGAATATGTGCATATATAAAATGAATTAAATGCAGCAAGTCATTAAGTACGCTCATGCAATATTCCCCTATTCCTCACCCATTTCACAACGTTGTTTTCTAGAAATTTCCCCTCTGCCCTACCGACCACCCGATACTATTTCGATGACAATTGCGACGAGTAAACCCCGCCAGCGGCGGTGTCGATCTCCCAACATGTTTATTTTCTATATTCGTTGCGCTCGACACGGGGGTACGAGAAAATATGTGTGAGAAAAATGTCTAATAGTTGTGCATAATTACTGGGGTTAGAAGCGTATCAATGTATAATAGAGTAAAGAATGCACCTCCAGCACCAGTTCCTTGCTCTCAAAAAAATTTCAAACAATGACCTGGCACCTCTGAAACATCTAAAAACGAAGTTTCTGCGGTTTTTATCATACATTATTTTCAAAATTGTTCGCGATTACAATACCTCGCTAAATGACGTGGAAAGTAAAATCACAGAAGGTTACATGTTCTTACAAATTTATTTTTACAGACATATTTTCAAAATACCCTGTCTTTGTTTCTAGAAAATGCTATTATGCCCTTATAATACACCTAATTTCTGCTAATAGCTGAAAAACAAATGAGTTATAAACGATGTATACAGGGTGACGGTAAAATAGATGCGGAGCCGGTGGGGGGAGAATTGTACAAGCCAATCTGAGTCGATTTTACTATAGTAACTACTGTCCAAAAATTAGCCGTTTTACAAATTATATTAATTTTCAAGATTTCATAAAATTAACGTCCTTTATACGTTAACCATGTCATAAAACTTGAAAATTGGGTGTTTCATTTGATTTTTTTTTGTTTTACAATAAAAATATTCTAAAATACAAAAATTGATACTCAAATGTACATTATTGACGTTATCTCATGCAGTAAGCTTCAAAATAGTACGATTTTTGTTAAAAAAATATTCGTTCATCTCAAAAGCTTCAGTTTACTAGAAAAAGTCGCATACCAATTTTTCGTACAAAATAATTAGAAAGCATCTACGTTTTATTGCCTTTCAAATGAGGTATAAAAATTATATATATATATATATATATATATATATATTATAAATCGATTAAGAATTGGCAAAAATATGACTATTATGACTATTATGAGAGGAGGAAGGAAAAAGCAATAAAAATACTATACTTACAAAATTATACCTTAATACAGGATAATTTGTTTGAAACTACGTTTTTTTATTTTTATAATATATTTTCAATATTTATAATGCACACACGTGCTCTTCTTATGACAGCTGATTTTACTACCGCCGAATTCCTAAGAGAGGCTTGAATTTCTTGTGCTGCATGTATTATCCTGTTTCGGAGGTCTTCTATTGTTGGTGTAGGATTTTGATTAGAGTATACTAAATTTTTCATGCGACCCCACACAAAAAAGTCCATAGGTGTGAGATCGGGACTGTGTGCTGGCCATGGGATTGGTCCGCCTCTACCGATCCATCGATTCGGAAATTCCTCATTTGACCAATTTCTAACACTTAGTCTCAAATGTGCTAGGCACCCGTCATGCTGAAAAATAATTCTGTGTCTTGTCTGTAGCGGCACATCTTCAAGTAATTCAAATAGAACATCACTTAAGGGCAAGAAATGTGGTCCTACCAAACAGTTATTTATAATGCCCATCCAGACATTCCGACAAAATTGCCTTTGAGATCCTTTTGGTCGCTTCATATGAGGATTTCCCACTGCACGTTTACACCAATAGTGAGCGTTATGGTAGTTTGTTATGCCGTCTTTATCAAATTTTGATTAGTCGGTCCATAGAATTTTTCATAAATAATCTTCAACTTCAGCGTTTAAAATAAAAAGACAAAATTGCATGCGCCTCATGGGATCTCCTTTCTCTATGACATGACAGATGTGTAGAGGTAAGGGTGGAATGTGTTTTCATGCAAAACATACCACACTTGCCATTGGGATAATCCAAGCCGTCGAGCCACAGCGCGAGTAGAGAGAGAGTAGGGTCTCTTTGGAAAATATTTAATATTTCTTCTTCTTCCACATCATGTCGAGGTCTACCTGCATCACCTGAAATAAAATGAAAAAACAAATAACAACAGTTTTTTGGAGGAAATTGTTACCTAATAAACATAGCGGTAAGACTATGAGCTAGAGATGGCAAAATATTATTTAGAAAAAACGATACACAACATGTGGATGTTTCCATCTTCAGACCCGTGTAGATGCTAGTGTTGAAATTAAATGAATAAATTCTTAATTAAGAAGTTCAATCAACTATATCAAAACAACTATGTTACAGTATCATCAGTTCAGCCCACAGACCTCCAAGGCTCTACATAGGCCTTACTGAATGACTGATTATGATAAGTTAATAATTATCAATGATGCAAAATTACCTGGATATTTTACGTTGGTACCGCGCTCTCGCACCCGACGGAACGTTTGCCTAAATACGCGGGCGACAGGTAGGCGACGATTATTCCTAATCGTCGATATGTTTCCACATTTCCCCATATTCACGACGCGCTTCTTCAGCATTGCCTCTGGCGTCTCCATAGTAGCAAAGCATATCGACATGTTCTTCGAAACTGAACGGCCTCCTTTCTTTGTTCATCACTTATTGTTCATCGATAGGTAGATCAACGAACAATCAAGTCACACAGCAGCCAAGTCGTAAGGAATCACAGAAAACAGGGTACAGTCTAGGTCGTCAGGAAAAGACTCACACACGGAAGTCCAACAAGAGCCAAGTCGTTAGAAATATCACAACACCGAGCAAACAAAAACATCCGAATGCAACAAATCGCAAGAGCATTGATTGAGGCGGGGGAGGGAGGGGGGTGACTAGTCTTACTTATCACACTATTCCGGTGGCAAAGTCCGGTGTTCGCGGCTCTACCTGTTTCTTTCACTCATACCTTTGTCATTTCTAAACCGGTTTGTGACTTTGATCCCGCATTTGAAAGGTAATGAAACGTAGATATTTTAAAATTGGTTTGTATGAAAAATTTGTAGGTGATTGTTTCTAGTAAATTGGGTTTTTAAGATGAACGAAGATTTTTTTAGCAAAAATTGAACTATTTTGATGCTTACTGCATGAGATAACGACAATAATGTACATTTGAGTATCAATTTTCATATTTTAGAATATTTTTATAGTAAAACCAAAAAAAAAATCAAATGAAACACCCAATTTTCAAGTTTTATGACTTGGTTAACGTATAAACGACATTAATTTTATAAAATCTTAAAAATTAGTATAATTCGAAAACGACTAATTTTCGGACAATAGTTCCTATAGTAAAATCGACTCAGATTGGCTTGTACTATCTCCCCCCACCGGCTCCGCATCTATTTTCCCGTCACCCTGTATACATATGAGTTGATGGATACTGTGGAGCCTTAATGCACAACGCGGGCTCTCAGGGAATGGGCTACAATATGTTTAATTTGTTTTGTGTAAATAAATGTTAAGTCTATATAGATATACTTCAAAATCTTACCAAGTTTTGAACATAATCATCATTATCCTCAGAAGGTGGGCAAGGATAGAAAACCTGTGCTTGGTTTCTTTTTCTCTGTTGGAGTAGCTTGGAGAAATCGTCCCACTCCTTATCCGTTTCTTCATCTTCTCCATAAAATGCGTCGTGGTCCATTTTAAATTGCCTATATTTTAGAAAGTATTTTTTTTAAATGTAGCAACTATTACAACATTGTTTTGTTTGTGAACGGCATTTGTGCTTACTACAGTAAAGAAGATATTTTCAGAAAGTTTAACTCAAAAACTAATAATTTTCGTAATTTCAAAACATGTTGCAACACTTCAAGCGGTGGACCATTGATTTTCGAAAAATGTTTCGTTTCGAAGACAGAGAACAAACATAATTTTTGAAAATACTATACCATACACTACTATCTCCAGGTAGATTTCGTTCAAATACTTATTGAACTACACCCAGCAATTACCCAATCAATTGTCGAATTTTAGTTATAGATAGCAACTGTTTTTGTAACATTTTGCCTGCCCTACATATTCAAAACCAAACTGTTTTTCGAAAGTCGCCGAACAACAAGAATAGTCCAAAGAGACAGCCTATACATTTTTGCTTCGATTTGCTCACCCACAGGGATGATAAGAAGGGAATATATTTCATACAGACCTAGTGATAGAGAGCCTTGCCTAAGAATATTTCTCTATTGCTTGATTTCATTTGGTCGTACTTCAGTGGACTAAATATCGACAACACTCACTTTCGGGAGAGATCACTGTGCCACATTTACTCAGTTTGCGACTGAACGCACACACTCACCTTGCTCTTTGTTTTAAGGTTTGATTTCATCTTGTAGATAGTTTAGTGTCTAAATTACTGTACTGTATAAGTAATTTTTCAATTGTATATGACATTATTTAATTTCAAGCATACAACTGGGGACTGTAAAGGTTGAGATGGCATTTCGGATGTTAGTTGGTCGAGATATGACTGTCCGAACAATTATATAATTATGGGCTTATGTATGAAATTATACGGTGTTGAGGTCATGTAATGGATTAATTTTTTTATCTTGTTTCTCTAAGATACAATTACACCGATGTTTTTTACCCCCAGAGCGTAAGAGAGAGAACTATTGTTATTGTGTATACTTTTGAATGCTAACTATTTTAATGTACTGTGAAGTCTAGGTACATTACAAAAATATGTCAATCAGAAATCAAAACCCAAAGCACGCTCAAACCTATGAGACGCTGCGCATATCGTGCTATATATATGCTTATCTTATTGGACGAAATAATTGTAAAGTCTGGTTTTATTGCTGCAAGTTGTTGATTGAAGTATTTAAAACATGGACGCATAAAATGGGTACACCAATTTTTGTGGGAAAACTTTTTATTCGAAAACAAAGAATGAGAAAACGTGTTTTTTTTTATTCAATCGAAAGTGTTGGCAGGAACGAAAAAACGCTTCATATAATATTTTTAGGTATTCATAGGACCTATAAAATGAGACCACACGTAAAAAGTTAGGCCCGAAAACAGAGGCAAACTGCATGTTTTGGCACTTGTTGCTAATGCGACGATGATACTTGAAATTCTTCAAATACGTAGGATTCGTACTTCTAAATAATAAGATTGGTCAAGTAGAATTGACAATTTCTAATTGTTTATCCAAAACACCTGTTTTTCGGCCATCACTAGTAGTTTATTGAGCAATATACAGGATTAGTTCAAAGAGCATTTAATAGCAAAATACACTAGTTTACCTTGTCGATATGAATCGCAAACCATTTCGGAAGATAAATATTATTTTTATGCAAAAAAGGATCGGTTACGTTTTTTCTTCTAAACAAATTCAAACAGTATGTTTTTCGAATATCGTAGCGCATTTGTTCAATTACTCACAAATAATACGAAGTGTTTGAATTTTTTTAGAAGAAAAAAACGTTGTTTTGTGATTCATATCGGCAAGGTAAACACATGTATTTTGCTTTCAAATGCTCTTTGAACGAACCCTGTATATTGCTCAATAAACTAGTAGTGATGGCTGGAACACAGGTGTTTTGGGATACAAAATTAGAGATTCCCAAAAAACTACTTGACCAATCTACTCCAATTTTGTTGCTATTATTTAGAAGTATGAGTCCTACGGAATTTGAAGAATTTCAAGTAGTTGCGTGAATTTATCGTCTCATTACCAACAAATGCCAAAACCTGCTTTTTGCCCCGGTTTTCGGCCATAACTTTTTTGCTATTAGTCGAAACTTTTTACGTGTGGTCTCATTTTGAAGAAATCTTGTATAAAAAGTTTGTTCGTATCTGTCAACACTTTCGAATGAATCCAAAAAAAACACGTATTCTCATTCTTTGTTGTCAAATAAAAAGTTTTCCCAGAAAAAGTGGTGTACCTACCGATTTTATGCGTCCATGTTTTGAATACTCCCTTGAACAACTTGCACCAATAAAACCAGACTTAACAATTATCTCGGGGAAATTTGCTAAAATGATTGGACTTAGGACCGCTATTATTTGCATTATATATCTCAGATTTAGAAACAGAGGTAAAATCATGCAGCATACAATTTTTTGCAGATGATACTCAAATTTTCTATTCATTTAGTAGTAATGACTTGGAAACGGCAAATAATAAAATTAATCAAGATCTTGCCCAAATTGAAAAGTTCAGTAGTAGTCATAATCTTCGTTTGAACGCTTTGAAGACAAATATGTTGGTATACGCAAATAGAACAAAAAAGAATACCTTAAAAAAGGACATAGACATACATTTAAAAGGTAATAAATTAATTCCTGTGGATCATTCGAAAAACGGTAGGTATTATAATGGATGATGACTTAAAATTTGTTGCACACGTGAACTATCTAATTACTCAGTGCTACGCTATTCTCTTATTTGCAAATAAGGCCTTATTACATAAATCTGCGAGAAAGCAATTGTGTGAATATTTCATAATTTCAAAGATATCGTATTGCTATCCCTATTTAGATATTATAACAAGAAATCGTATTCAAAGTATTATGTTGCAGGCTTGTAAATGATCATATATCGAATGCCATTAATGAACTGAAATGGATGAAAATTGATAAAATGTATAAGCACCAGCTCCTAAATCTGACTCACAAGGTTCTTTATTCAAAAACACCGTCATATTTAGTAAACAAATTCAAATTCATACGTAGAGGGAATATGCATCATATTAATATTAGATATAGAGAGACTTTTTCAATTCCACGCCACAGCACGTCTCTATTTCAGAATACATACATTTACAATGCGATCAAATCATATAATTCTTTAGACCGCAGCTTAAAAGAAACCAATCCATTATCCAAATTCAAGAAAAAAGTGAAAGAAGTTCTTCTTGATCAGCAGCGAAATCGCTTGTAACCCATAAGTGTACTCATATTTTCCTTATGTACTCGTATTTACTTGGATTATTCGTTAATGTATACAGGTGCCTATAAATTTTCAACAATTTTTTTTTTATATCTCGTATTGTTAAGGGGGTTAGATGGTAGAGTAGATATATAATATAAATCTCGCCTCCTGTAAGAATATTACAAATAAAAGACGTTAATTATTATTATTATTATTAATAATATCAGTTTGTTTCCAAGCTACATCTCCTCCAGTAGAATTGTGCTATAAAAACTACTCAACCAAAGACTCATCAATTGTTCAATAGCTAGTCCTATTTGCATTGGTCACGCGATATGGGCTTCTCTTGCTGAATTTCAAAACAAGATTGCTAGCCAAGGCGCATATGACCTACTTTTGGCATCGTTTTTTAATAGAATGAATAAAATGTTCAAGTGGATCATCCCTTCAAAGTTTCAAGTGGAGTGATTGTTGTATTTTTATTTGTTACATACACTTCAATATTGAGCTGTTCTAGAAAATAAAGTTTGGTGTTTTCTTCTTTCGTAAAAATTTAGACTTGGCTTGACCGAAAATGGTGTTATTCAATTGCTTGATGATTGACGTCTTAGGACCGTATCGTCGCTCGTTCCTACAATAATAGGACACCTTTATGGCTTCCTTGATTGTCATAGTTTTCTACTGTCCCATGTAAGCGCTCTATTATGAGTTTGTGTCACCAATAACTATTTGCATCAAATTGTTCATGCTTTTGATTTATATCATCTGTTATATCAGCCTGAAATTTACTACAATTTAAAAAGAAAACATAGCCTCACAGCAGGAAAGCGCTGACGATTGCACGGCACAGTCGAAATCTAGAAATATCACAGTATTTCTGAAGGAAAGAAAATAGAATAAATTGTAGGACACCTGTATGGCCCCCTTGATCTTCATAGCTTTCTACTGTTCCTTGTCAGCGCTCTATTTTGAGGTTATGTTACAAATATCTATTTGCATCAAATTTTTGATACTTTTGATTTGTGTGATGTGTTATATCAGTCTGAATTTTCTTACAATTCATATAGAAAACATAGCCTCACACCTCACCTAGAAGAGCGCTGATGCTAACACGGAACAGCAGAAATCTAGAAATACCCCTGCCTTCATGAATGAGATACTATGAAAATCAAGGAATCCATAAAGGCGTTCTACATTTTGTAAGAACGACTGGCGGTAGGCGTCTGATGAAACTTAGTAGAAGACAGTATGCCAAGAAAACGAGTTGTCAAGCTCCGCGGGATCTCAGAACTTTCCGCTATACAGGCGATACAGAACTTCTTTTGAAGAATCTCCTAACGATCATTATCTAAATAAAATCGGATTATCACGTAACTATAAAATCGTAGGGACAGCCATCAGTCACCGCATATTCACTTGTAGTAGCGGTGTATGTGTGTGTTGCCTAAACGTTAAAATACTTGAGCTATATGCTGTGATGTAACGCACAGAACACATATGACTGAAGAAGTGGGAGCTGCACGTTAAACAACGGCAACACCGTTGACGTTTTGTCAGATGGTTGCGCCGCCTACTTGCCTGGAGATCTGGAGGAACTATTGAAGGAATTCAAAGAATGCGCCGGGAGATTAGAAATGCTAGGAATGTGCCGAGCCGAGGATTTAATTTGTTTACAATTTAAAATCTGCAGAAAGTGATATTTCCCATATTGAAGAAATATTTTATGAGCATAGACGCATAAAATATCCTCAATAAAGGAAATACCTGATTCAGCAGTTTTTCTGGTAAACAATTTTGGGATAATTAAAAATAAATGCGTAATTAATAAAATATTTATTAAATACTTAAATATATAAATAATAATAAGTAATAATTTATCATCACAGTACACTGACAATATATAAATATATTTTCAGACATCCGGAGCTTTCTCTATATTATTAAGTAAATAAGTGATGTTTCAAAAATAAAAATACTAATCAAACATTAGTAGCATAAAAAAACGATAAAAAGGCACCCTCAGAAATCAAAGGCAGTGTTTAGCAAGCACTACCTATTGTTAACCCATCATGAGGTATATTTATCACTGAAACGTAAAACGTAAACATTCATACTAAAACAACACAAAATAAATCTCTGTAGTTAAATAAATAACCGAAATAAAAATATAATCTGAGAAAAAACATATTTTATAGTGTAAAAATGAGAAAAATTTTCTTCAAAGAAGGAATCAAAATTAAAAATAAACAAGACATTCATCCTCATACTTAAAACCAAAAGCTCCTGATCAACATTACATGGAGTAACAAAATAAATAATTATTCTTCATCCAACTGCTCCCTCCCAAAGATGCTGCAACTCTGAAACAAAAAAAAATTGTTTAGGTATAATATCAAAGTAGTATTTGGTTACTAAAAGTAAATAGAAAATTCAATGAATGACGAGTGCCGGACTACATAAAAAAGCATTACCTGACTTTACCTGTCTTGAATTTCTTATTTGTTGATATATGACTGTTAGTAGTCTCACCACTCCTATTCAAAGAATTTCTCTTTACATGTTTGTAAATACCTAACCGAGCAGTTTTTTCAATTATACCTTTTGCCATATCATGCTGCTGACAAAAGCTGTAATTTTGAAGGATGCAGGAATACTTCTGTTCAAATTTAACTTCCATTTGGTCTTCTGTACCATGCTGCTCTAAAAATGCATACAGCTTTTCATCCAGAAGACCAATCAGGTTAATTAAATCTTCACTTGCATACTTCAATTGCTTTTCCTCCATCATGCTCTTTAAATATCACAAATAGATGTTTTCAGTGACAACCAAAGAAAATAACCTTGCACAGGATTCACAATTACTATCAATTTTGAGTCTGTCCAAAATGTACCCAGCCACATAACCATTTGAAGGATTCCATTCAACAGAACTGTCCATTATTTCCATGTCAGAGTCACTCAGAATCTCAGAGTCTAAATCAAGCACTGTATCATTACTTTGTTCATATTTATCCAAAAAGTCACTGAAATCGACCAAAGTATCACAAACATCGATTTCACAATTACCTTTAGAAAAAGGTGTGCTGAAATTATTAATAACTACTGTTTTTAAGGCAGCAACAACTGATGACAGATGGGATTTGTATTGAAGATACCATGCTGCCTTACTTGACCAAATAAATTTTCCAGGGAATCTTGATTTAAATTTCTCAAAGATATTTCAAGCCCTTCTCCTTAAGATCCCTCCGTGGTGACATAACAGATCTAATTGTTATTTGCCAGCCTTCAACAAATTTGAAATAGTTTGGTTTGTTAACCCCAACGACAATGAAAATTGATTTTAATTTGGATAGCCTTGAGCAAACATTCTGCTGGACTTTATACATAATTGATTCCTTAGGGCTCAATTCCTTCTTTGATGTACCAGATTTTGTTAATATGCCAGAGGCCTTCTCTAACAAAAAAGAATATTTATCTAAATAATTAGATTCTGTTCTAGAACCACTTCCACTGATTTCAATGTTTTTATCTTCCAGAATAACACTGGAATTTTCATTTTGCTCAGAACGTGTTGGATTTGTAGTAGCCTCTCCAGAAGGAGGGTCATTGAATAAAACTCTAGATACTGAACTGGGACCTGGTTTAGTAGGATGACTATTATTTGAATTTAAAACTGTATTGGGGGACACTGGTAGGGTAAGATATCTGAGACGTGAAGGCTCTTGTGGATTATTACGATCAAACATTGAAAAATGATCTGTGCAAACATAATAATTGGAAACTTTACGAGTGGGAGATATCTTACAAGCTGCCTTCCAAGCAGCAGCAGTTTTTTCATCTTTTGGAAAACGATGGAATACTTTATTTTTGTATATACAAGCAGATTTCCGAACAATGTGGATATAGGAATTTTTGCAAGAAGGATATTTGCATGAGTACTTTAAAGTAGCGATGTACGAAGAGGCAACCCCAAATCCATAACTGATTTACAACAGAAAAACAAGCTTATTGAAGTATGCAATCTTAAATATTCCTGCACACAATCACAACTGTTTTACATTGAAAAATATATGACAAAGGTTATTAGTACTATTATTATATGAAGATTATGAACGATAATTTCTCGATTGGGAATTAAATCAATAATTGAAAAATAATCTTAGGCTTACCCATCAGAACACAGATTGAAAACAAAAATCAAATCCAAGCGAATAACCAAAATTTCTTTGATATCTATCGCGGTTATAGTATGGTTCAAGATGACACACGCGGTTTTGTTGCAAGTTGTTTATTTTAGAGAAGCTCGTATATAACTTCTGATTATTTTTATTACCACTTAATAATCGGTGCTTTTTCGTCTACAACAGTGTATGGAAAGTTTAAAAAAGAAAACTTTCATAATATTAATGGGAGAAATCTTTTTTTTCAGAAAAAAATGTTTAATGATGGAGCCATGGCTTTGTAGCCATGATAACTTTCAATTCCCTAAACTTTTCCGCATGTCAAAGAAAACATTTATTAATTTAGCAGAACCGGTAGGAAAAAGCGATGAAAAAAGATATTAGCAGAACCGCATACAGGTGGAGATCATCCAGTGAGTTTATATGGCCATATTTTAATATTCTTGCGGTATATGGCTACACAGGATACTTTGTTAAGCATAGGAACTAGATTTAAAGTTTCCCCAACAACAGTAATGATTATAAATAATAAGGTGCTCTACTTTATGCAAAAACTGAAGTCAGCCTGTATCAAGTTTCCCAAAAATGAAGCTGAAGTACAATAAAAATATCCAATACCCAGAAAAATTCTAACTTGTCACGTCAAATAATAACCAGAAATATAAAACTACTCCTGAGTTGGGTAAATACCATAATTTTGCGGTGATAACCATGACATATAACAGCTGATTCATGACGTCACGGACCTTATAACCAAACTGATAACCACACTCGCTTGAACGGATCGGTAAACACCCATCCAAAATGGTAAATACCATTTTCATTTGGTTCTCCGCTTGAATTTGTTTAAAATGGAAGTTCTTAGGGAAAGTCAAACTGTCGTTTGTCAAAAATCAAACTCTGTCGGTAAGAAAGTGTCTTAGATTTTGCCTGGAGATTTATGTGTTTTGTGCCTGGAGCGAATGACCTTGGTGTTGCCAGTTCGCCCATAAGACGTTTCACCCCCCTGGTAGCACATTTATGTGGTTGGCGACACTTATCCGGTTCATTGAAGTACAAATGTCGGGAAGCTGTGTAGTTTCCTGCTACCGACGTAGGAGTCGGTAGTAGTTCGTTAGGCGAACTACTCATAGGTGGCAATGTTACCGCTGTGCGGACTGCAATACGGAGTGTTGTACCTGTTTCGCTTGTTTGCTTTGTCTGTCTCCAAAGACTAAGCCTATGCTATACTGACGATTGCTGAAAAGCATGGAACGCGAACGTATACAGTTGATTATGGTTACAGAGACGGAAAGAAATCAGAACCTGAATAGATTACGAAAACAGTGCCCCGAGCATCATAAAAATGCGCGCACGCTATTCCCGCTTGCCATTATTAAAGTAGATTTCGCTATTTTCCAAGGTGAATCTGCTTGAAACCAGCATAAAGACTTCGCTCATATGTATCACCAAAAAGAGTTGGTAAAGTCTATTCAAATCGAGTGGAAGTCATAAACTGTTGAAAATAACTACCTAATTCCTTTATTTCAATTATAACATTTATTTGAAAGATTGTCTGACAAGTGCCCACGAACACCGTGGAGATAGAATTGATTAGTTAATAAGAGATAGAGCAACGCCAAAAAATGCAACATCCACAATCTTTACCCCCTGAACCCTATACTCCAATACAACTCATTCAAAAAATTGCTCGGATATGATCGTTAAATGTTTGGCAAACTTCTCCAGTCCCATTTTTTTTAATAGCTCTGCCGAAAATGAACACGACTGCAGCCTTAAAAAAATAATAAAAGTTATCTTCGAGATTACAATACTATTCACCAATAAATTGCTGGCGCCTCGGTCCCTAAGCCGGCAACACAAAAAAAACCACATCTCGCAAAAGCGCAATTTGACTGGCCTATAACAGGACTAAGTTCAGGGAATGGTGCAAGGCGGTTGTGGTTCAACAAATCGATGCACATCTCTATCGCATTATAAATCAAATCCAAGCGAATAACCAAAATTTCTGTGTTATGTGCCGCGGTTATAATATGGTTCAAGATGACACACGTTTTGATGACGTCAGTTACACGAATCGCTTGAACGCGTTGGTTTTAACCGCGGTTTTGTTGCAAGTTGTTTATTTTAGAAAAGCGCGTATATAATCTCTGATTATTTTTATTATCACTTAATAATCGGTGCTTTTTCGTCTACAACTGTATATGGAAAGTTTAAATAAGAAACCTTTCATAATATTCATGGGAGAAATGTTTTTTTCAGATTTTTTTTTAATGATGGAACCATGGCTTTGTAGCTATGATAACTTTCAATTCTCTAAATTTCTCCGCATGTCAAAGAAAACATTTATTGATTCAGCAGAAATGATGAAAAAAGAAATTAGCAAAACCGTATACAGGTGGATATCATCTAGTGAGTTTATATGGCCATATTTTAATATTCTTGTGGTATATGGCTACATAGGATACTTTGTTAAGCATAGGAACTACACTTAAAGTGTCCCCGACAACCGTAATGAGTATAACTAATAAGGTGCTCCACTTTATGGTAAAACTGAAGTCAGCCTGTATCATTTTCCTCAAAAATGAAGCTGAAGTACAATAACAATATCCAATACCCGGCAAAATTCTAACTTTTCACATTTCAAATAATAACCAGAAATATAAAACTACTCTTGAGTTGGGTAAATACCACAATTTTGCGGTGATAACTATGACATATAACAGCTGATTCGTGACGTCACGGATCTTATAACCAAACTGATAACTACACTCGCTTGAACGGATTGGTAAATACCAACCCAAAATGGTAAATACCATTTCCATTTGGTTATCCGCTTGAATTTGATTATATATTTTTGACAACCAACAGCGGCGGTAGATTTGACGTTTATATTTTGTAGGTTATGTTATTGCTGTTAGGAAAATATTTTTATTACCACATTGATTTTTGAACCCAATATACAAAAGCAAAATGTTACCACTCTCCCTATTAAGAACCGCTCAAAATCATCCCATGCTAGTAGAGTTGAAAAACGGAGAAACCTACAACGGTCACTTGGTCAGTTGCGACAACTGGATGAATATCAATCTACGCGAAGTGATCTGCACTTCCAGAGATGGGGACAAGTTTTGGAGGATGCCCGAATGCTACATCAGAGGCAGTACCATCAAGTATCTCCGTATTCCAGATGAAGTGATTGATATGGTGAAGGAAGAGGCCATTGTGAAGAATAAAGGAAGGGGTGACTCCAAGGGAATGAGGGGAGGCCAAAATCAAAGAAATAGGCCTGCAGCTAGGGGGAACTTTGGAGGTCGTGCTGGGAAGGCACCTGGACAAGGTGGAGGAAACCGTCCATTCCAAAAACAGAAACCAAAGCAATAGCTTAAGTTTGTGGACTTACTAGTATTAATTCAATTACACACAGACTTTTCTCAATAATAACTATTTGGTTTTGTCATTTATTATTTTCCCATTTACCTGTTTTATGACCTAATCATGTATGGTGTGTCCCACTTTTTAAGTATTGCCTTGTAGAAAAAACAGTTGTGTACAAAAGTTATATGGTCTAACATGAAAGATGTTCTTGTTAAAAAGTGCTTTTGAATGAAGTTCTATTGAAAAAAAAACTACATTTTTAATGAAAATCATAGTCACTTCTGATTCCAAATATGTAAGTTTTATTATACTTGTTAGTTTGGTCAAAAACTCGAGACATATAATATGGATTGGGTCCTACAAGACTGCTCATGCTGCTAGATTCAGACTTGTTTGATTGATGATACACATGAATGAAAGTAAGTATGATAAATCATATGTATTTGGAATTGGAGTGACTACTATAATGTTCACTAAAAGTGTATAATGTTTACACTTTAACACGTTAACGGCCACGTGCTTATCTGTGAAATTTACCACCGGGCCAATTTATAATTTTCATTGTTTTGAGATGCTTTTAGGTAGTATTGCTCAAATGTCTGGAGTATTTTGTGAAAATATTCGAAGTTTTGGAAAAAAATGCAAAATAAGGATCGGTCCCCAGGGACCGCCGTGGCCCACCAAGAAAACTATATTGCAAAAGCACGGTCGGTCCCGCCCGGCGGTCCTTCGGTAATGTCCGCCTTTCATCGATGAGCGCTAAAACGAAGCACGTGGTCATTTCGTTGCGTTTCAGTTACTGTAGCGGGTCGGTGCAGCTAGGCGTCAGCGCATTTATTCATGATAATGGATCACGTAAATGTTCGCAATCGGACTAAACAGTTGATATTGTTGTCAAAACTTCAGAAGTGTGATGAAAATGATGGTAAGAAATTACCTACAGGGATATCTTTCGGAAGTGAAACTGGCTTTTTTCACTTTTGTTGTATAACCCTGTACAATAAACAATTTTGTTAAGAGGTTAAGTTCTGCTAAATTTCAGAATCCAGCGAAGATGAACCAAGCATTTATGGCTCATCGGACTCAGTTGTAGATCCAAACTATTCCCCTAGTGAAGATTCTGTGTCGAGCGAGTTGGACAACGTTCCCACAACCAGCAACACTGATAAGAAGGTAAGTCTAAAATATTTTCCAAACATCTGTGTTCTAATTGTATTTTTTTTTTTAGAAAACACTTCCTAACGCTCAGAGTCCACCGGAAGTTTCAAATATTGGTTCAAATCTCGTAGAACAATCAAGTAGTTCAGATTCGGAAGAAAATCAGAGTAATGTGGTGCAAGTGGCAGGATGGACTATACCACAAGGCCATCACTTGGTTTTTCCAAAGAATTTTGTTCAAGACCAAGGAATTTGTCCAGAAATAGCAGCTGCCTTGCAAGGAGGTACTCCGTACGATTTCTTTTCGCTTTTTCTGGATAACGAAATTTTAGACCTGATGGTAGAACAGACTAACCTTTATGCAACGCAAGTAATCTGCTCAGCTAACGATGTTCCACACTCATCAAGACTTCATAAATGGTCTCCTACTGACAGACAAGAAATGCAAAGATTTTTAGGCCTAGTCGGATATATGGGTCTTGTACGAATGCCAACAGTTCGCCACTATTGGAGCAGAAAACCCCTGTTTCGCAATGAATTTATATCAAGTGTTATGAGCAGAAATCGTTTCGAATTGCTTCTACAACTATGGCATTTTTCTGATAACCAAATATGCCCTGAAGGTGATCGTCTCTACAAAGTACAGCCCCTTATTGATAAACTTGTCAAAAAATTTCAAACCTCATATACTCCTGGTAGTACAGTCTGTGTAGATGAGTCACTAGTCCCCTTTCGAGGTCGCCTTGTTTTCAAACAATACATCCCTCTTAAAACGCATAAATATGGCATCAAAGTATTCAAGCTCTGTTCTTCAGAAGGCTATACTTATAACATGAAGGTATATTGTGGGAAAGAAAAGGATGCTGGTGCTAGCGTTCCAACGAATATTGTTTTATCTCTTGCTGAAAATCTGCTAGATAGTGGAAGAACTATCGTTACTGATAACTATTACACTAGCTTAGATCTAGCTAATAAATTACTCGATAGACAGACACATCTTATTGGTACCTTGCGATCCAACAGACGCGGTAACCCGAAGGAAGTTACGCAGAAAAAACTTCAGCGTGGCGAAATTGTTGCAAGGGAAAATGAGCGTGGCATATGCGTAATGAAATGGCGGGATAAAAGAGACGTATTACTACTGTCTACTAAACATACAGATGTCATGCAAGATATTCAAATCCGAAATGAAACAAAATCTAAGCCTTTGGCTATTATTGATTATAATAAAGGAAAAAGTTCCATAGATCTTTCCGATCAAATGGCATCTTACAATTCCGCATTACGTAAGACCATCAAGTGGTACAGAAAGCTAGCTATAGAGGTAATTTTTGGTACCTGTATGGTCAATGCGCATTACTTTTATAAAAAAATTACTGATTCGTCGATGTCTATAACAGATTTCCGCGAAAGCGTTGTGATGGACATGATGTCACAAGTCCAAGGTAATATGAGTGACGATCAACAGATTTCAGCATCTAATTGTTCGACTAATAAGAGGAAACGGAATTCAGAACATTGTTTTAGGAAAAAAGAGGGAGCTGTACACAAAGTTCGAAAATATTGTGTCGGCTGTTATAATAAAAAAACCAAAGGTGAAATAGCCAAAAACAATGTAAAAAAAGTTAGCACTTATTGCAGTGACTGTGTTGATCAACCTCATTTTTGCTTAGAATGTTTTAACATATTTCATAAGCAATAATTATGTTTTTCTATGTTTACTGTCTCTAAAATATTTTATACGCATTTATTGTTCTGAAAAGTGTGAAAAATAAAGTATTACGCTTCACTTTAGTACTTTTATTTATCAAAAAATGATATAATAAAAAATACATGTGAAACTTGATTAAACAAAAATATATAAAAAAATTATTATGTATGCATCATCAACTGGGGCCAAGCGGTCCCATATGAGCCGCTAAATGTATTAAATGAGCGGTCCGGTGGCCTGAACAGCACGAAATAGCAGTCACCGACAGGTGGTCCCGAGGGACCGCCGTGGCCTGATGGTAAGGGAAGCTGGCGGGCCCCTGGGACCGACGTGGCCGTTAACGTGTTAAAAATGTAAGTTTTGTGACCAAAAGTATCAAATTTGAATTTATGGCATTTGGCGGCACGTCAAATATTCCAACTACCTGATAGATGACGCTAGTATGAGAAACTTTGGTAAATGTGTAGTGGACTGTGTAACCATGTGTACCCTACCACCACTGTCCACTCCCAAATGAACCGATCCGAAAGTTTTGTGTTAACATAAACATGTTTATGTTTATATCTGACACGCAATAGCTGTCGGCCCCAGTAAAAAATAACATCGCACTCAAAGAAATTTCGCTTTGAAGCAAATGCAACGAAAATGGTCTTTTATTGAGAAAAAATTACACATTTGCAAACATTCAGCAGTTACTTGATCATAGTTCAACAGATGGCAGGCAGCACTTTGAAACAATTCATATGTCAAAATCAAAAATATGGCTGTTCGCAAAAATCTAACCAAAATTTTATGAACTGCCAATTACTTTTTAAAAGTTTTTGCTTTCACAAAATCCGATGATAGCTTTTTCTGAATATGTAACTGGATAATATTCGATGGCGACTGCAGATCAAATAGATAATGAAAATCATTACTATGTCCGAGAGATTGACTACAGTGAAATACAAAAGAAAGAGGTATTTTTAAAGCTAATAGCTTTCATATGTAGTTTTTATCATCAGATCCGATAAAATATTACTGTAAAATATCTTACAGGTTGTTGGCGAAGGTAGTTTTGGTATTGTATACAAAGGAATATGGAATGACACCTTGGTAGCTGTGAAGAACATATCTAGAGAGACAGAAAAGAAGTCGTTTCTCATAGAAGTGCGACAATTATCTCGAGTAAACCATGAGAACATAGTGAAGTTATATGGGGCTTGTACTCAAGGAATGTTGTGTCTGGTTATGGAATATGCTGAAGGGGGTTCTTTGTTCAATGTGCTTCACAGATCTAATTTGCAATATACTCTTGCACATGCTATGTCATGGGCTTACCAATGTTCCAAAGTTAGTATTTGCAAAGGTTATATGAAAATAACTAAATCTTTATGTAACTGTTGATCCTAGGAATATTATTAAGAAGCTCTTCAAATACCTTATATTCTACTGCTGTATTGGACAACCCACTGGTTGCCTTTTACTATATTTCAACATCATTTAGTCATATTGAGGTGCTGAAAGAATTTCCAACCTGAGTAATTTATATTTGGAAGTTAATCTGCTAGATAAATTTGTAAATCCTTAATCTTGTCAGTAGTATCAATGTATGCCTCTGCTGCACCTTTACATATGCTCTCTCTTTTACCCTTAACTATTCCTTTTCTGGTATTTGTTCATTATGTTAATGTAATATTATACAGGGTGTCCCAGAAGTCGACGTTAAGCCGAAACCGGGTGATAGGCAAAGTCATAACAGCTATCAGAAAAATATTTTAACAAAATTTTATGTATGTGTTTTGAAAATTATAGGTCTTTGAAAAAATATAGAAATTTCACACCCTACGGCAGTCTGTCAACTCCTGTTACTACAAATGTTAACTTTTTTAGGATTTTATTTTTACAATGTAATGATGAATAATGCATCTTCAAACTGGTGTCTCAACCTTACTGCCAACTTTTCTTGTTCAGGAAAAATTGCCACTTATTTCCCAACTAATATTCCAAAGTAAAACTTTAACTGGCTGTACTGGAAAAAAATGTACTACGAGAGTTTGGCAAGTAACCTTAAAAGTTGGCGCATTTAATAAAGATTCCAAAATGGTATAACACTTAGAAGATTACACGTTAACTTGTGCTCAATTTTTATTCGAAGAAAAACTGTTGAAAATTTTTCAAAATTTCCTAATTAAACAGCGATTATGAAAACGCACAACGACCCTTAAGGACAACTGTTTGCACAACAGTGGGCGTCAAAATGCTGCTGATGATGATTTACCTTTACAGCAAATGCTCAAACTGTTTTCCTTCAGCCGCAATACACGCTCGACAACTTCTTAAAAAAGATCGGGTTATTAAACGAGCGAATCCACGGTTATTAACAAACTCAGCTGCTTCCAATAGTGTTTGCCGTAGCTCAGCTACATTTTGAATCGGCTTGAAATACACTTTTTCTTTTAGAGTTTCCCAGTAAAAAAAATCTAACGGATTCAAATCTGGTGACCGGGCTGGCCACGGTATTGTACCAGACCGCCCTATCCATCTGCCTGGAAAGTTTTAATCGAGATACTCTCTCACTGAGAGTGCATAGTGCGCTGGGCAGCCATCATGCTGAAACCACATGTCCCTGTAAATACTCGGTGGCACGTCCTCCAATAAATTTTCCAAATGATTTTGCAAAAAACCTAAATAAACCTCAGCAGTCAAAGTCTCTGGGAACTCAAACGGACCGATTATTTCACCATTTAAAATTCCTGTCCAATGGTTTATCTTGAAGCGATATTGAGATTTATCTTCTCTCATCAAATGTGGGTTTGCTACGTGCCACTCGTGTAAGTTATGCAGGTTCATGTACCCATCTTTCTTAAATGTGGTCTCATCTGACCATACCATTTTTTCAAAGAACCGTGGATCTTCCCTGTGTCTTTCTAACATTGTGCGACAAAAAGCAACTCGGGGCCCATAATCCCGGGGCAGAAGAGCTTGAACACGCTGTACGTCGTATGGATGGAGCACGTTTTTTTGCAAGACTGTATGGGCTGTACTTTTGGGCACACCTGTTTTTAGTTCTATTGCACGCACTGAAGTACTCGGGTCTTCTTCGACAGCTCCTATCACCACGTCTTCGTAAGGAAGGAAAGATCTTCCCTCACCATGTGATTGGTTTGGTAGTTGGCCCTCTGAGAACAGTAAGCGGTGCACATTTGTGAACACTCGATGATCTGGATGACGAGCTGCATTCGGGTACCTCTCACAGTAAATTCTCGCTGCAGCACTAGCGTTGCATCTGCATTCCCCATAAATGAGATGCATGTTAGCATATTCTTGTACGGTGTACACGGACATAGCGGCACTGCACAATCACACAATCAAAGATAGTCGAAGGAAAGCAAATGTTGTTTTGAAAAACAATTAAACAGTCCAAATCCAAATCTCAAGCAATCAACAGTCCAGTTCACGAATCCAAAATTAGTAACAGTACGAAATCAACAAGCACGAACATGTAAAGTTGCGCAGTAAACGAAGGAGTACTGATCGGTATCAAAGTGTGCAATAGCAAGTAAGTGATGTGCTTCATCCATACCACATACAGCGTGTTCAACCTCCCCTGTCCCGGGATTATGAGCCCCGATTTGCTTTTTGTCGCACAATGTTAAAAAGACACAGGAAAGATCCACAGTTCTTTGAAATAATTTTATGGTCTGATGAGACCACATTTAAGAAAGATGGGTACATGAACCTGCATAACTTACACGAGTGGCACGTAGCAAACCCGCATTTGATGAGAGAAGATAAATCTCAATATCGCTTCAAGATAAACCATTGGACAGGAATTTTAAATGGTAAAATAATCGGTCCGTTTGAGTTCCCAGAGGCTTTGACTGCTGAAGTTTATTTGGATTTTTTGAAAAATCATGTACAAAATTTATTGATAGACGTGCCACTGAGTATTTACAGGGACATGTGGTTTCAGCATGACGGCTGCCCAGCGCACTATGCACTCTCAGTGAGAGAATATCTCGATCAAAACTTTCCAGGCAGATGGATAAGGCGGTCTGGTACAATACCGTGGCCAGCCCGATCACCTGATTTGAATCCTTTAGATTTTTTTACTGGGGAACTGTAAAAGAAAAAGTGTATTTCAAGCCGATTCAAAATGTAGCTGAGCTACGGCAAAGACTATTGGAAGCAGCTGAGTTTGTTAATAACCGTGGATTCGCTCGTTTAATAACCCGATCTTTTTTAAGATGTCGAGCGTGTATTGCGGCTGAAGGAAAACAGTTTGAGCATTTGCTGTAAAGGTAATCCATCATCAGCAGCATTTTGACGCCCACTGTTGTGCAAACAGTTATCCTTTAGGGTCCTTGTGCGTTTTCATAATCGCTATTTAATTAGGAAATTTTGAAAAATTTTCATCAGTTTTTTTCAAATAAAAATTGTGCATAAGTTAACGAGCAATCTTCTAAGTGTTATACCATTTTGGAATCGTTATTGAATGCTCCAACTTTTAAGGTTTTCCAGTACAGCCAGTTAAAGTTGAGCAAAGTTTTACTTTGGAATACTTGGTTGGGAAATAAGTGGCAATTTTTCCTGAACGAGAAAAGTTGGCAGTAAGGTTAAGACACCAGTTTGAAGATGCATTATTCATCATTACATTGTAAAAATAAAATCCAAAAAAAGTTAATATTTGTAGTAACAGGAGTTGACAGACTGCCGTAGGGTGTGAAATTTCTATATCTTTTTCAAAGACCTATAATTTTCAAAACACATACATAAAATTTTTTTAAATATTTTTCTGATAGCTGTTATGACTTTGCCTATCACCCGGCTTCGGCTTGACGTCGACTTCTGGAACAGCCTGTATAATACGCTCTGTGTATGATACTCGAATTCATTGAATCAAAGCAGTTATGCCACAATGACAATGATGCACATGGTTACCACATTAATTATACTTAACTACTAGCTCCTAGGATGTTTTACAAAATCTACTTTGTCTTCGATGCCTTACTGCAACCAACATTATGGAGTGTATGTTTTGTAGATGCTAGAGCTAGTATAAATCCTATTTCTACCTAATATCTCTGTTATGGACTGTAAAGGCAATAATGGAGCTCCATGATCTTGTTAGGTCTCAAGATATAGAATTTTGCTTGTGGAACCAGAGGTTTCGGCATTTCAGCAAAATGCTTAAAAGGACACCTAGAAGTTTTGAGAAAACTTTTTATAAAATAATAATGCAAATATTGAGGCAAAAGAACGAAAATGAACCACAAATAAACAACAGGCATTGACATGATTACCTGACAAGCTTTGTGACAATGTCACAACACAGAAAACTGTTACCATCATGAATGTACCTGGTAAATTCAAACTATATATAACACTTTAGGATCTATTTTGCATTAAGGTTGGCATTCAAATTTACTAAATATGACTGGTTTGTTTCAGTGAATAAACTATGTATATGTGCATTGAAAGGAGTTGTTCATTGGATTGTTGCACTATTATTATATCTTGGATATGGTTTAGATATCATACACCTACTTATCTTTAACTAAATAAAAAGGTCCTATGGACCACTCTAACATACAATGACTCATGGAAGAATGCCCTCATTACATAAAAGTAATTTCTATTTCTTATGAAACATTGCTGTGTTCATTGTCTTACGAAATTCAGCATTATATGATGCAAAAAACAGAGTACACTCATGGGGGCAAAATAAATGCAAGATGCAAAATTTTTTTCATCTTTAGAATGTTATAACTTTTTCATTTTCAACTCCATTTTGATAATTTTTTCTGCAGGGGATAGGTACTTTCATCAGCTTTAATTTTCATCTTTCTGTTCTTGATGATGGCTTCTGTTTCACTTATTGTACCTTTCTGTTATGTTCAAGATTTCTATATCATATTTCATTAAGTTCTTGTACGGATTCAAAGAATATGTCAACTTTTGCCTTAAATGTCTACTGTCATCCATATAGCTGAGGACAACTTTATGACACAGAAGCAATATTGTAGTCAATCCTTCAGAAACACTAGTGTTGCCACTGTGAAACATTAGGCTAGTCTATAGGGTGAAAGTTTATATGAGAGGACATCATGCCATTGCTGATTTAAAGCTTTTGTCATATCACTGCAGAATATCATATTGTCCTCTTCTGCTCTATCTAAACCATGTGTTATATATTACTTGACCATCAACCTTAGTATGCAATTTAAAAATAACCTGCTCTGTATAATGCAGAATATGCATAAATCATGCTCCCATACATAAAATGAATGAAAAATAATTTGTCCTAGAACAATATTCAACCTGACAATGACTGGACCGCGACGATTTAAAAAAGTATAATACTGATCAAAATTTGTGAAATGACGTGTTATATATTAATTTTACCCTAAAAAATACTCCTTGCCCATAGAGCTAGGAGGAAAATGGAGACGTGGGTTGCAAGTCAACATTCTCAGAAATGGAGGAGTATCTCTGCCACCTTAAGGTTGCTGGTGGGACTGTTGTCTGGCTATAACACGTTAAGATGCCACCTCCACGTGATGGGGGTGGCTGAGGATCCCTTGTGTGAGCACTGCGAGGTAGAGGAAGAGACCTCGGCGCACGTTTTGTGTCGCTGTGAAGCTCTGAGCTACTATAGGCAGACTATACTGGGGTCCATTACTTTGGACCCTCAGGACATCAAGGAGCTTGGACTCAAGGCGATTCTCAACTTCGCTAAAAGGGCGAGGCTTCTGATCTAAGGAATGTAGAGGTGCATAAGGGCCCGCTTAAGCGGCCTATGCACTGGCTCCTTATAGTGGCCGGAATGCCTCTAATTTCACGATTCATTCATTCATTCATTCATTACTCATATTTTCATATACCCAAAAGTAAAGCATAGGTAATATGTATATGGTTATTGACCTAAAATTGCACTTGGGAGGATTAGAGGATTAACTTATTATGCATACTGTTCTAAAATTAAGGTATTTTCTGTTAAAATCGAAATGAAAAATGATATAAAAAACTTGTACATAACACATCATATTATGGCAATTAGAAAAGTTCTAAAAGGGAGAATGCAAATTAGTGGCAAAAACTGCATTTGACTTTAAAACCTCAATCTCAGCACATATTGACCTGAATGAAAAAACAGATTATAAACAAAATGCTTTTCTTTACAATAGAAAGCATTGCGATTTGAATGGTTAACAAAGTCACGCCACATGGTGATGATTTTGGTTTACCCTGTAGAGCAAGTCAAACTGTGCAAATTGAAGCCAATAAGTGTACCTATCGCCTTCCGAAAAAATCATCAAAATGGAGTTGAAAATAAAAAAGTTATTTCAAAGCTGACTAAAACTTTGTTTGTTGCTTTTATTTTGCCCCGAGTGTAAATATTTGAGCAATTTTTCTTTCTTCATGAACAATTAATTGCAAATCACTTGTTGTATTGGAAATATGTTTTATTGTGTGTATGAATAATGCTCTTTTCAGGGTGTAGAATATTTACATTCAATGAAGCCAAAACCACTGATCCATAGAGACCTGAAACCACCAAATTTGTTATTAATAAATGGAGGAGTTCATTTAAAAATATGTGATTTTGGCACAGCAGCTGATAAGAACACTTACATGACTAATAACAAGGGATCTGCAGCTTGGATGGCACCTGAGGTAATCATGAATATCAAGTAAAATTAAATAACAATTTAAGGTAAACTTTTACCAATATGGTTATTGGCATAACATGTACTGCCTGACATAGGCTGAAAATAGTAATAAACACGTTTTTGTCAGTATTGCTAACACCTTTAAAGTTGTTAAAAAATGAGTAGCATATTTGGGTCATTGTCAAATTTCGCGCAGGTAAAGTAGACCCTAGTAGTAGTAGAAAGATTTATTTAGCACATTTGGCTATATAAACAGAACAATTGTAAACAACTTAGAACTAGTAAATTCAAGCCATATGGTGTATGATGTAAATGCTGGGCAATCTATAATTGTAGATTTAACAAGTGATTTCTCAATTTTACTTTAAATTTTGTCAAAGTTTTCTGGTCTTTTATCTCCGAGTATAATTTATTATATTCAATCAACCCTTGATGGAATACAGATTTGTAGCATATGTACTTTTTGGTCATTAAATGGAAGTCATCTTTATTTCTGGTATTATGTAAATGATGGTCGACATTTGATGATGTTAAATTAGTTAGACTTGATGGAAATATATTATTTTTTACTTTATAAATGAATATCATTACAAGATATTTGATAAACATTTTTACATTGAGTCATTTTAATTTGCTAAGCATTTGCCTAATTGGAGTATATTTATCTTTATTTAGTATTATTCTCATGCACTTATTTTGTAAAATTTGCAGTCTTTCAAAAATGGAATTATTTGCTAAATATAGAATAGTCGAACAGTACAAGAAATTTGGAAGAATGATGGTATTATAGATAATTTTTCTGCTATATGAACTCAGACATCCAGAAACTCTCGATAAATATCCCACTTTACTACTAATCTTATTTATAACTTTTTCATAATGAATATCAAAAATTAATCGAGAGTCAACAAAAACCCCCAGGTATTTAAAATTTTCTACGAATTCAATATCTTCACCATCAATATTCAGTTGAACATTTGTACATTGTTTTTTCCGATTAACAAGGCTTTCGTTTTACTTGCATTTAATTTTAGTCTGTTAGATGCTAACCATTTAGAGACAAGCTTCAAGTCTCCATTTATATAAGAGATACCAGGCTGAATATTTTTAGTACTTATATAAATCATAGTGTCATCGGCGAAAATCTGAATTTTGCACTTTTTGACTATGGCAGGCAAATCATTTATGTATAAAATAAATAGAAGTGGTCCCAGGATACTGCCCTGTGGAACACCCAACGTATTTTCAATTTTTGATGAAATAGTGTCATTAACTTTTGTAATTTGCATCCTTTTAGACAAATAATTTCTAAACCAATCTAAAACACTTCCTGTTATACCATATGCCTTCAATTTACCTAACAAAATATCTCTATCAATCGTTTCAAATGCCCTCTTCAAATCCAAAAATACTGCTATGACAATTTCTTCTGAGTCTATGGCTGTTCTCCAATTCTCAGTTACCAACTGGAAAGCTGTTTCTGTGGAATATTTTTTTCGAAAGCCTGCTTGCGCCTCCACTAAAATTTTGTTTTCTTCTATAAACTGCATTAATTGGTCATGCACTATGGACTCTAATAATTTTTCAATGTCTGGTAGCACATTTACTGGTCTCATATCGCTGCATCTTTTAGAATTTTTTATTTTGGGAACTGGTGTTATTGTAGAGCATTTCAAATTTTCAGGGAAAGAACTGCTTCTCAGTGAACAATTGATCCAATTTAATACAGGATATCCCAAAATTTCGAAACAGTTTTTCAGCACGTTTTTAGTAGTCATTTCGGCACAGTTGTTATTTGATTTCAAACTGTTTACTTTTTTTCTTAGATAATTCAATGATACGCTGTGAAATTTTGAAAGTGTATGCAACATTTCCCCATGGAAACTGATTTTCATATAGTCAGGTGCAGCATTGGCAGTACCCACAATATCAACAATACTTTCCACAAAATATTCATTTAGTTTGTTTGCAATCACCAAAGAATTTGTTTCGGTACCGTTTTCGAATTGAACTTGATTTACACAATCATGCGGCTTCGAATTGATCAGTCTTTTTAAAGTCTTCCACATCTTTACACTGTCGCACTTGTTATTATCGATTTGTTTATCGTAGAATTTCCTTTTTTCTTCTCTAATTACATATACACATTTATTCCTAAGAGTTTTATATACCTCCCATTCATCATTTGATTTTGTGAATATACATTTATTGTATTGTTTGTCTCTCAAATTTTGAGCTGCCTTAATATTCTTGTTATACCAGGGTGTATTTTTTGTCGAGCAAATCACCTTTTTATCAGTTGCAAGATCTAAACAAGTTTTTATATTTCCTATTATGTTGTCATATATTTTTTCCATATTCTCACCAAAATTCCAATAGCCGCCAGCAAGTTCTCGTTCAAGTTTTTCGTACTTAATAGTATTTACGATTTTCTTAATTTTTGTATCAGAAAAATGACCTACCAAGGGCAGCATTGTCCAACTGTGATCGCTAACTTTAGGTGTATGTACAGCTTTAATCCCTGCACATTCGAAATTTACAATAACAAGATCTAACAAAGTCTCTGATAATGATGTTATTCTGGTACTCTCTTTAATTTTTTGCTTGAACCCATAGTTGTTTATGGTTTCTTTCAATTTTCTTGTTTTCATGCTTTTACCATAATAATTTAAATTAAAATCACCTAAAAGTATTATATTGTTTCTAAAATTCCACATTTCTTCGCATTTTTCTTCAAAAAACGTTAAAAATGTATCCGCATCACTGTTTGGTGAACGGTAAAAAGTACAAAGATCATAACGTTTCCCAAATAATTTGAACTGTATATGTGCATACCAGTATGCATAGTCTAAAGTGGTACAATCGAATAATGTTATCTGTATTTTGTGGTAAACATAAATCACTACACCTCCAGTATGTCTGGGGTTCGAAATGCATGTGTAGGTTTTATAATTAGTAATTTGTAATTCACCATCAGTGATGTCTTCTGTAGCATGTGTTTCGGTAAGACATAATACAAGTGGTTTTCTCCATCTTAAAAACTGTTGAACTTCATCTATATTATTCAGGACTCCTTGTATGTTTAAATGGTATATTGAGTTATATTCATCACTTACAGATTTATCCACGTCTTGCAAATCTGAGCTTAGTAGTTGCTATTCATTTGCATAACTAATTTTTTCCCTCTCACGTTCAATTTTCCTTTTATATACTTCACAATTTTTGTCAAATGGTCCATGATTAATAGGTAATCCTAGATTAAAATCCTGTTAGGCGTTATGTGGGTTACAGCAATCAACCATCAAGATCGTGTAATTTGACCCAACTAAGATTTTTGTTGTAGGATTTTCGGAAGTTGTAGGTCTATGCCAATAAGCGGATACCCCTAGCCTTCGTGATCATTATAACCAATCTAACAAAATCTGTTGTCGGTTATTTAAACGATGTTATACTCCACACATGATGGCATTCCTGGGCCTTGTAAATGGAAAAAAAATAATTTCATTAAAACCTCGGACACTACCTATACCATTTCAGTATCTATCCTTATGGGAAAGCTCTATATCCATCATCTCTTGTAGGTTTTCTCGTCTTCCCACTACACCGAAAAATGCGACGTGTTCAGCTGGGGCATCATTCTTTGGGAAGTAGTATCCCGTAAGAAACCGTTTTATAACAAAGGAGGGACTGCTTTCAGCATAATGTGGGCTGTTCATAAAGGAAAACGACCACCGTTGATACGAAATTGTCCTTTGCCCATTGAGAACTTGATGACCACCTGTTGGGACCATGACCCTAAAAACAGGCTCAGCATGGCAGAGGTAATTTCATTTACTCATCTTGTAGTTTTTTCCATGGCGTAACCTGTTTCTTATGGTTAAAATTATATACATACAGTATGTTAGCACCAGTGCTATACTGGAAATCATAACCATAGCCCCACCAATAAATTTTGTTTTTTCTTTAGTTGTGTTAGATGCAAGTTTATATAACACCTGGATAATTTTTTTGTTCAATAAATTAGAATAAGCTCCATATACATTATTTTTGTTTGTTTTATCATCCGTATGAGTTGTATTAAGGTATAATTATTGAACTGAGCGAGAGAAAGCCAAAAGTTGTCGGTGGAGTTATAGTTATGCTCTTCAGTTGATGTAGATCAATTACGATCGAGTGTGTTAACCAGTGTAACAGTAGTAGTTTTCTACTGTTCCGTGGCTGCGCTCTATTTGGAGGTTATGTTACAAATATTTACTTGCATCAAGTTGTACATGCTTTTGATTTATATCATCTGTTATATCAGCCTCAAATTTATTACAATCCAAAAAGAAAACAGCCTCAAAATATAAGAGCGCTGTCGCTGACACGGAACAGTAGAAATCTTGAATACCCCAGCCTTTCTGAGGGAGAGAAAATACTATGAAAATCAAGGACACCGTAAAGGCGTCCTACAATTGTAGGAACGACTGACAATACGGTCCTAAAGCTGGTAACCAGGCCACCTTCCACCCTTTTTGCCGACTCAGTATATTACTTAACACTGTACTCAACATGATTCTGACACCAGGTAACTGATCACACAATCAACCTACTTCGACGATACGATGTACGTACCTATATTATCTTTTTGGAATCGACCTACCGCCACATAATAATAATAATATTTATTCCAAATCTAGAAACACAAATACGTCATACGTACAAATGACATAGATGTGGAACTAACGTCATACCCAAGCAAACACTAAAGCGAAGCATTCATGTACTCAGAAATATTGTATGGTTCCAGCTGAATTAAAATCCGTTTCAGGTATTTTTTGAAGGTTCCTGCACCTTCCATCACTTCCAAATGATTAGGTAGTTTATTATAGAACTTTGCGCACATATAGTTACTGTCAGCCTATGCTGAGGTAGCAAAACATTCAGAGCTCTTGTACTGTAAGTGTGATCATTTTGCATGGGAAAATTGTTTCTATTTTTCACTGTGAACATATAACAATCAAAAATGTAAAGTGCATATACTGTCATCAAACTCATACCCATAAATACGCTTCTACATGTTTCTTTATATTTCATATGTCTCATTGCTCCTGGTCCTTTTTTGAATAACAAATATTTTTTGCAGTTCTGAGCTGCCTCCAAACAATATTATTTCATAATGTAGAATCGATTCAAAATTTGCACAATATACAATTTTTAAACATTCTGAACTTATATAACCAGATAACACTCTTATTCCATAGCTGATGCTACTCAGATTCAAAGCAGTTTTGTTTATGTGTGGAGTCCAAGACAAAAATTCATCTGAATGTGTTCCTAACACTTTAGTTTGCTGGATGTCACTATCAGAAAGTGTGACGTTTTGTGGTATATCAATCTGTGATTGCTATGTTCTAAATATTATTAAATCAGTTTTGTCATTATTTAATACAAGTTTATTAATTGCAAACCATTTCCTCACTGATTCGAACACCTGCTGACCATTATGTTCCAATCCAGTGGTATTTTTGCCGCTAATGAGTATGCTGGTATCATCAGAATAATTAATTATTGTAAAGTCATCATTCTTAGTGCTATCTCTTAGATCATTGAGGTATATGACAAATAATATGGGACCTAAAACACTGCCCTGTGGTATACCTACCTCATTACAAATGAAATCTGACTTGATGAAGATATTATCTTTTTTTATCGCTACACGTTGTTTCCTGTTCGTAAGATGGGATTTTACCCAGGACAGCCCTCATTTCAGATCTGTTCAATTCAATAGGATGTTATGGTTTAAGCAGTCATATACTTTATAAAGATCAAGAATTAAGCCCATTGCTAAATGTTTATCTTCCATGTAGTTTAAAAGGTTTTGAGTAAATTGATGAAGAGCTGTAATTGATATCCTATATATATATATATATATATATATATATATATATATCCTATATATATATATATCCTATATATATATATATATATCCTATATATATATCCTATATATATATATATATATATAGGGTGCGCCATCTTTTATGTAGGTACGTAAACATGAAATAACTTTGAAAACGAAAAACTGATTTCTACATATCGGGTATTTTTATCAAATATGGTCCTTTACAATTTATTGGGACTAGATTTTGAACACAAATCTATCAAGTGGCCACCTTTATTGGCCAAAACAAAATGTACCCGTTTTGCTGCGTTTTCCATTACTTTTTCGAGCATCTCTGGTGGTTTAGCGGCGATTGCGGTACGAATGTTTGCCTTGAGTTCTTCAGTGATCTGGGGCTTGCTGGCGTACACTTGACTTTTCAAATAACCCCACAAGAAGAAGGCCGGTGGGGTCAAATCTGGAGACCTGGGTGGCCAGTCAATGTCATCTCTTTTTGACATCAGACGTCCAAGGAATTTTCGTTGCAGAAACTGAATTGTTTCATTTGCAGTGTGCCATGGCGCACCGTTTTGTTGAAACCAGTAACCATCAAGACCTTTTTCACGAATTTGTAGGCAGATATAATGAGCCAACATCCACCGATATCGATTTCCATCGACTGTTTCGTTTTCGTTGAAGAAAAATGGCCCAATGATGGTTTTGGCGCAAACGCCGGCCCAAACAGTGACTTTCCGGTCATGCAACGGCATTTCGTGGATCACAATTTGCTTCCAAAAATCAGATTCAGCATCAACCATGCGAGCGACTGTTTGGGCGTATTCCCAGCGACGTGGATGGTCAGTTGGCAATATTTTTTGTGTTAACTGCACCTTATAAGGAAGCAAATGCAAATCATCCTTCAAAATGCGCCGGAACGTGGTTCCACTGATGCCAAAATGCTGAGCGCGGTGACGATACGACACTTTTGGGTTCTGGGCAACGCTGTCTCTGACCACTTCAACCAATTCATTGGAACGTCTTGGTGGTTGATGAACGGTATGTTCACGTGCTCCCACTGTCCCGTACTCAAGAAAATTCGAAACCAAACGATGGAGTATTGTCAGACGATGCCTATTTGCCACGATATTTTCGGCGATATGCACGTTGTGTTAACACAAGTGAACGACGATTTTCAATTGTACATTGTGACTATTTCGGCGCGTTGTTTCGGTGTAAAGAGTTTCATGACTAAAATTGTAGTAAATTGACGTTTCAGAAATACGTATAACCAAATCACTCGGTTGGTAAATATCAAAGTCATTCGATGTTTCAATACCGACATAAAAGATGGCGCACCCGTTTTATATATATATATACGTATATAACAACAAGTGGGAAAATAATGGGCAAAATCCGCAAAGAGGAAAGTGGATTCGAGCAGAAAATAGGATAGGTAACCCGAGCGATACGTATTTCTGCGGGTTGGCTTCATCAGGCCCGAAATGAATGCACATATGAAACTACAAAAGTAGATACACATGCCCACACATCCGGATACGGGTGTAACCTGAGGAAACGAAGTTGGAGGGAAAAAAAAAAACGACACACGAAGTCCACAACAAGAGCCAACCTACACATTGTAGTGTAAAATGGCTATACGACCTCGAATTTTCAAGGAGACGTCTAACCACCACCACGCGGCCGGTTATAGCCACCTGCTGTGGTACTTCAAGCCCAAAGGATCTACAAAGAGAATATGATCATGCGGAGAAAGGTATATAACAACAAGTGGGAAAATAATGGGCAAAATCCGCAAAGAGGAAAGTGGATTCGAGCAGAAAATAGGATAGGTAACCCGAGCGATACGTATTTCTGCTGGTTGGCTTCATCAGGCCCGAAATGAATGCACATATGAAACTACAAAAGTAGATACACATGCCCACACATCCGGATACGGGTGTAACCTGAGGAAACGAAGTTGGAGGGAAAAAAAACGACACACGAAGTCCACAACAAGAGCCAACCTACACATTGTAGTGTAAAATGGCTATACGACCTCGAATTTTCAAGGAGACGTCTAACCACCACCACGCGGCCGGTTATAGCCACCTGCTGTGGTACTTCAAGCCCAAAGGATCTACAAAGAGAATATGATCATGCGGAGAAAGGTATATAACAACAAGTGGGAAAATAATGGGCAAAATCCGCAAAGAGGAAAGTGGATTCGAGCAGAAAATAGGATAGGTAACCCGAGCGATACGTATTTCTGCTGGTTGGCTTCATCAGGCCCGAAATGAATGCACATATGAAACTACAAAAGTAGATACACATGCCCACACATCCGGATACGGGTGTAACCTGAGGAAACGAAGTTGGAGGGAAAAAAAACGACACACGAAGTCCACAACAAGAGCCAACCTACACATTGTAGTGTAAAATGGCTATACGACCTCGAATTTTCAAGGAGACGTCTAACCACCACCACGCGGCCGGTTATAGCCACCTGCTGTGGTACTTCAAGCCCAAAGGATCTACAAAGAGAATATGATCATGCGGAGAAAGGTATATAACAACAAGTGGGAAAATAATGGGCAAAATCCGCAAAGAGGAAAGTGGATTCGAGCAGAAAATAGGATAGGTAACCCGAGCGATACGTATTTCTGCTGGTTGGCTTCATCAGGCCCGAAATGAATGCACATATGAAACTACAAAAGTAGATACACATGCCCACACATCCGGATACGGGTGTAACCTGAGGAAACGAAGTTGGAGGGAAAAAAAACGACACACGAAGTCCACAACAAGAGCCAACCTACACATTGTAGTGTAAAATGGCTATACGACCTCGAATTTTCAAGGAGACGTCTAACCACCACCACGCGGCCGGTTATAGCCACCTGCTGTGGTACTTCAAGCCCAAAGGATCTACAAAGAGAATATGATCATGCGGAGAAAGGTATATAACAACAAGTGGGAAAATAATGGGCAAAATCCGCAAAGAGGAAAGTGGATTCGAGCAGAAAATAGGATAGGTAACCCGAGCGATACGTATTTCTGCTGGTTGGCTTCATCAGGCCCGAAATGAATGCACATATGAAACTACAAAAGTAGATACACATGCCCACACATCCGGATACGGGTGTAACCTGAGGAAACGAAGTTGGAGGGAAAAAAAAAACGACACACGAAGTCCACAACAAGAGCCAACCTACACATTGTAGTGTAAAATGGCTATACGACCTCGAATTTTCAAGGAGACGTCTAACCACCACCACGCGGCCGGTTATAGCCACCTGCTGTGGTACTTCAAGCCCAAAGGATCTACAAAGAGAATATGATCATGCGGAGAAAGGTATATAACAACAAGTGGGAAAATAATGGGCAAAATCCGCAAAGAGGAAAGTGGATTCGAGCAGAAAATAGGATAGGTAACCCGAGCGAT